CGGTGTGGAGCATGCAGCCTTGAAAAATTATGAAGAGGCTGATGAGGATACGAACACCGAGGAAATGGCATTGCGGCTGGATGATGAGGAGCAATCGCACCAGCATGAAGAGCATGATGAGCAGGAACAGCACAGCGGTATTCATCGTCCACAGGATCGAATGCATATTCGGCATGAGGATCCAGATCACCAGGAAACGCATGTGCCAGGTGGTGACGGTGTGGAGCATGCAGCCTTGAAAAATTATGAAGAGGCTGATGAGGATACGAACACCGAGGAAATGGCATTGCGGCTGGATGATGAGGAGCAATCGCACCAGCATGAAGAGCATGATGAGCAGGAAGAGCACAGCAGTAGTCATCATCCACAGGATCGAATGCGTATTCGGCATGAGGATCCAGAGGGGCAGGCAAGACGTGCGCTAGTTAGCGGTATGGAGAGTGATGTGAATAGGGAGCAGGTGGAGGGTGACGAAGGTATGAACCCCGACGCCAATGGACTGCAACATGATCAGGCGCCTGAAATGTCGCTGCAGGTGACACCGCCGCCCCATGGAGAGCGTTGGCTTTCTGTTACCTATTCAAGGAAACTGGAGAATGGTGAGCATCCGAACTTGGATTTGGACGCGCTGAAAATGATCGATCAGGAGCAACCACACCATCACGGATCCAATAATCATCATCAGCAGCAGCCTCATCCTCCGCAGGAGTCACAGCAGGAAGAGCACCGTTTGCCAAGTGATGAAGGTCTGGGGGACGCTGCAGAAGGAGAACAGCTTGAGGGTGGTGAGCATGTGGATATCGGTGAGAAAGCGTTGTCAAAGCCCCACCAGACGAACTCGCCGCAGCACCAGAATTTCGATAAGCAGCAAAAAAAGCACACGCCTTCTAAGCAGCGGCAGCCACCACAAAAAGAGTAGCCGCTGGCTAACCTTGAAATAAAAAGGACTCGCGGATAGAGAGCTGCTAGAAGGTGATGGGCACATGGGCTTTGATCCGAATACGCTGCAGAAGTCCCATCAGGTGCAAGCGCAGCAGCAAAAGCTAATTATTCTGCACCAGAGGCCTAATCAACAGCAAGGTCTACAGCAGGAAGAGCAGCGTCGGCCTGGTAATGAGGGTCGGACGGGCATTTTTGACGAAGAGAAGATGCGGCACAATGAGCGATTCAATGGGCATGAACTGGAGCTGCAAAACTTGGAGGGTATGCCTGGACTGCATCAGAAGCAGGATCGATAGCACGAGCAGAAACGTACTATGTAGCATGTTTATCATGAGCAGAAAAAACTTGAAGCTCCGTGTCATTATCAACAGCAGCAGACTGAACAGCTCCTAATAGAAAGGCTGAGTCAGGCACATTCTCATAGGGAACTGCAGCAAGACCAGCTTGTATAGCTGCAGCAGCGCGACATGCAGCAACTCCGTAAAAGCGGCACGTAGAAGAGTCGCATCGGCAGCGTTCTCAGCGGAAACAACAAGCGCTTGAGAGGTAGTACCCTCATGATTATCAGCCAGAAGCGCGTAAGGGCAATCATCTAGCTGCGGAGAAAATAGATCAGGAGCAGCGTCATGAAGATGAAAACGATGACGCATATGAGTCTCAGAAACGCGCTGACTCCGCTTTGGTGGCACCTCCTATTTCCTCATCATCTTCTTCGTCTGCTCCCTCTTACTTGCAGTCTGATGATGATTCGTTTAAAAATCCTGCTGACAGGCACTATGTTTGCCGCATATCTCCACGTGGGGGATCATGCGCGAGTCGCAAGCACAGTAATTGGCTCACTCAGTTGTACTGTCAATTCAAAGAATGCTGAATCAAGACGAAATGTGCTCATGGAAGTTGCGGCGGCTTAGCTCTGGTCTACCATACCTAGTACAGCTACGGCCGCTGCACCCGTGCGACAAAAGGTAACTTGTTTCCGGCGAACAGCTCCTGTGTGGACGAGTCAGGGGACTACGGTAGCGTCTATTGTACTTGCGATGACGGATATATCCTTCACGTGGGCAAATGTGTAGAAGATCCGTGCAAGGGCGTCAAACGCTACCCTGGGAGCTGCGAGCTGGACGGTATTACCCCGACTTGCCGGCGTGCAGACGGCTACGGCACCACGGGATTAGGCCTGTCCAGCAAGTGCGAGCTAAGCGACCTCTGCAAAGATCGACTTTGCGAGAACAGCACGGCTGCGCTGGATTGTAGGACCGTCAGCCTGACAGAGTATCAGTGCACGGGCACAACAGGGCATGTCGGCGGTAAGCCTTCGGGAACCGCCAAGCGTGTCAGATCCGAGAGCATCTTGAAGTGTTTCGATCTTCCGTGTGGCTCGAGGGTACTTGAGAGCTGCGAAGACACCGAGGATAGTTTTAGATCCACCTGTAGATCCGGAATCAGGCTAGTCCAAGCCTCTTTCGGCAGGACGTGCGAATATGAAAACCCCTGAAACAACAATGTGTGCGGGGCACCCGCCGCAATGTTCTGCTCGGCAGATGAATCAAAGCACACTTGTCAGTGTCAAAGTGGCTGTACGCTTTTCACGGGGAGTAACTAGCAATGTTGCCAGGTAGACGAAAGCACTAGAGGTTACAACACATATATCCTGGCAGGTTTGAGCGATGGCGGTGTGGGCGCTGCTGTGCTACTTTACGTGACGCACAACAAAAGAAATGCTTCTGCTGTTAGTGATGAGTTCGGAGATGCAGGCGACTCCACGGAAATGCCACAGGCAGCAGGCGCATTGGGACCGTCCGCGGATCAGCAAGCTGTGCAGCCTTCACCTTCCACTTGGGCTCGACCCAGTAGCAGTGGCGGCAGAACGATGAGGGAGAGCTGAAGCTCAAACAACACCAAAATCTACCAGTAGTACCGGTAGATTCATGAGTCTTGCAGCAGAGTTAGGAGCAGTAACAGTGGTACTAGCAGTCGCAAGCGCACTGCTCCATGCAGCAGCAACAGTGTCATAGCGACAGTAACGAAAGCAGCCGCAGGAACACCAAAAAATCCTGAGACAGTACTTATGTACGGGAGTGTGTGATCCCCAACATCCATTTGTGCGTCCAGCACCTAGCGTGTATGATTTATGCTGTAGGGTTTAATTGCGGGATTCCCTGTGGCAGTTTCTGCGCTTGTTTGTCGCACACTCCCCGAGATACAGTGTGGGCGACGTATGTCGTTTTTCTTGTCCTGAGTTCGATAAGGGCCGATGTACTTTTCTTATTTATGGGATGTCGTTTTGGTACTGGAAGTGTATGCATACATGAATTCGCTGTACGCTTCATTTCGGCTCTGATGAAAGGTAGTATCGAAAACCCCCTGTTCGCCTTAGGAATTAAGGATGCAACGATATGCCTCTTACCATTGTTGCATGAGAAGCTGTATGCGTCATTTTCACTTCAATAAACGCTGCTGCACTGATCGTCTTTATACGGACCTATCCTCTTGATTCATGGTTGCACACTTTAATGATTCGACAGGGGGGAGAGGCTTTCAAAGAAATGCGCGACTATTTCGAGGCATTATACCTTCGAGGTGTACGCGGTCAGGAGCCTACCGTAGCAGACAAAAACGCTGAAGAAAATCAGTTTGTAGAGGCACGCAGCTTAAGGAAATTCCGTACAGACACTGTGCAGGAAAGGGTGAACAGGGGGTAATCAAGCCACGAAAACTCATCAGGAAACACGATACTGGCAAACAGTCAAAGATTAAAAGCGAGCCGACAAAGGGAAAAGAGAAACACAGGTAGGTCCAGAGGGACAGAACGAGAGAGAGGGAGCGAAAAAGGTAACCGAGGGGAGGTGAAAAAAGGGAGTGACGAAAAGCCTCCATGGCAGTTGGTGGCTAGTCTGCGAAAACAAAAGTAAATGCGTCTGGCTTCGAGTGCATGCGGAAAGATAAAAATATTGTGCCCGATTCTCCCGAGATTTGGACTTGACAATTTGAAGATTCCTACTTGGCGTTCAAGAATTATCGCAACAGTGTAGGCTCCAATGCAGACGGCTGAATTTCAAGATCTGAGGATTTGTGGCTCGACGCCACACTTGAAACACTGTAAAGTTAGGCGCAGAGGCATCAAGAGCCACAGAATGTTTTGCCTGGACCCAAGGGAGGAAAAGGTGCGGGTAAGTAGGTAGAATGTAGGGAAGCAACCCCACGAGCGGATACGCAACCAAGAAAGAGACACTAGATAAAGGGAGAGCAAAGGAATCAGCAAGAAGTAATACTCTGCGAAACAGAGCAAAATGGTCGGCACAGAGAAAAGCAGCGATGCAGAAACGAACAGGTAAAGAGTGAAAAAGAATGCTCGCTACTTCGTCAGCTAGCCAGCAACTGAACAAACCGAAAGTCTATCATGAAAGATGGATATGGAATACTGGGGCACAGATGTGCATATAGCCCCTCTCCTGTGCGTCCACAGTACGTGGAGTACACGGATTTGTAATCCGACAACGCTACAGCCTCGACGAGAAGCCCATGTGCACAAGCGTATGTATTTGGCTAGATATGGTGTGACAAAATTATAGCCACTCCAAACTCTATATAGCCGGACAAAAACTAAGCCACAGCACAGACGTCATTATAAATATGCACCGAGACAACGCATGTTCTTAGTGCTGGTGCTGTCGCTACCACCCAATGTCCTGCCTGTGCTGATGTCACATAGGCACCTGTGGATGCAGCAGATCCGAATATGCATGCAAAAACCTTTGAGGCCGCTTTCCCAGCCAGGAGAGTGGTTACTGGTCCCCAAGCTATTCTATTCACCGACACTAGACTGGAGAACGTTTGTGATCAAATGCGAAAGTACCAGCAGCAGTGTGATATATTTTGTCTCGAGCATGTTCCAATTTACTCTAGCAACTCCTTTTATTATACATATTGCCCCCCATTGGCGCCAGCCTCTGCCAGGACTAAAATATGCTGAATCTGAGACCTCCTGTGCGTTTTCTTTCAAGAACTTTACTTCCTCATCATTTAACTCTAAACCAGACCGCACGTACGTGCATGCAAACGCCGAAAGAAGGAGGAGGACTCCTCCCCCAATCCCCCCGTACAGCACATAATTGGTCCCCTCCTCGTCTTTTGCACAATACTGTCCCGTCTCTCCAGTCGCCACAGTGTACCCATCTGTGCAGGTGCACATGTAGGCTGTACTCGTAGCCACACAGCGGTTGGCGGTACTGAGACTTCCGCAGGGGCTGGTAAGGCAGGGGTCATCCCTTGCACATCGATACTGCGCCGTTTCTTTCACCAAACTATGTCCCGTGAAGCATGTGCAGATCACACCCTGGGAGGTGTCCACGCATTCCTGAACACCCTCAATCCCGCAAGGGTTGGAGGAGCACACAAAGTGGTTGAAAATATCGTCACACATTAGTTTTCCTTCAACCTTCACAGACGTATAGCCCAGGTTGCATTCACAACTGTATCGGCCGGGACCCTCGTGGTAGCAGGCTTTGGTGGAAGTGTTGTCACCGCAAGGACTATCGCTGCACATATCCCTCATCCAGCAAGTCTGAGGCACTGTATCATTATTGACCTCGTAGTATTCCGGACAGGTACACTGAACCTGTCCGTCAACGAGCATACATGTTCCGGGATGGCAAGGTGAAGAGCGGCAGAGGTCCTCCACACACGAGGTGCCGTCGCCAATATACCCTTCGTTGCACTCGCAGTATGTTCCCCCATGGGCGACATCCTCCTGCTTACAGGATGAAGACTCAGGGCACTTGTTCCCATAACTGTCGCAGCTGCAGCCTCCATGACTGCTATCACCATAATGCAAGAGACCATTGCACAGGGCCCATTTGTTTGTGCACCATTCACCAGACTGACCATGCAGCATGTGTGTTTTGCTGCAGCAGTACGAAGGAGGGCACTTCAAGCCAGAAGGATAATCGCCATATGACCGATTTCTACATGGCCCCCCATCTACACTGTACTTGCACACATAGTTCCGGATGTCCTTGAACGCGGGATTCAGCCACCCACTTCCACTGCTTTTTGTAGAGGAAGCAACTTCCACTGCTGCTGTGGCTGCTTGTTCTAATGCCTCTATACCCGGATTGCTGTGCCCGGTAACGCTCCTAAGGGTCGAAGTTAACGCCAACTGCCCGGTGGCTTCCCGCGTTGACTCAGGGGATTGGGAAAGCAGCACTCCTTCCCCCTCCCCTTTTACTTCTGCCAATGCTGAAGAATAGACGCTCACGAAGGTAGCCGTCACAGTGATGGTGAGAAGAGACACAGCGAAGACCCTCAAGCCACAGAAGTCCTTCATTCTGCCGAGACCGCTAGAGCTTCCATCGAGCATTACATTCGGCCGATTGGAAGAATTCGATTTTAGGATTTGAGAAGTTTTGTCGGTTTCTGTGTGAAAGGAGTCACCAGCAAATCTGGTGTAGCCGGAGAGGGAGCTCCTCTACAAGGCACTTCAGTGCGTCGGCAGCGGGCTGTTGGGGACGACGTTCTGGTTGCACCAGCAGCTGCCGTGAGGTAGAAGCACAAATAAAAGGCTTGGCAGAGGGCAGATCACCTTTGAATAGCCAAAAAGCAGGGCATGTACGTATTTAGCTGTATGTTGGCGCTACCACAAGCAAGCTTCTGCAGTAGGTCGTTCCGTGGAAAGACCGGCCATGTGGAGTCCCAAGTGGACGACTTTCTGAGCACTGGCTAATCCTCGACATTAGACGCCACACCGTACTCTGAAAATCTAGAGTATGCACTTTTACCCTGCATAGTAAACAAACATTCCAATTCTTGGAGCTGATTTGCGCTGGTTTGCACCCCTACCATGCTTTCCCCAAGGAGAATGGCAGTATCGAATCTAAAGTCCGTTTTGTCAGCATTACGCTGGTCCTGGGCTAGAACCTGGATTCCGTAGCTTCGCTCCCTCCATACAACTGCTAAAAATTAGTCTAAGGACCAAAACTATGTAACTCAACACCACAAATCGAACATGATACACGGAAGCTGCGGACAGGGGCCACAAACCACGCCTGGCCAGAGGTCCAGCTGTTGCTACTGTAGCTGCTATTGCTAAACACTAAACATGAAAAATATGTGCGTACAGAAGTCATAGCTGTGTTATCGTTTTCTCAAACTCCGAAACTCAAATCAAACGCACGCTTTAACTTGCTTCCTGTACCATTCACCCTGTTCCCAAAACAAACTACGGAACGTTCTAAAGATTCCGGGCGATGATGTCTTTTCAGGTAGCTAGGTAGTTGTAAGTATAAAGACACATCAATCTGTTTGAGAGGCCTCCTTGTGCGCTTGCTTGGCTGCCGATTAATTGTGCCCATCAGCTGTTGAAACTACGTCCATTTGGTGCCACAATAACGAAATATTTCTGTAGAGCCATTGCTGCAGCATCTCTGGCAAAAACTTCAGCAATAAGCTGCAGAAGCAGCAGCATCAGAAGCCGAGCACCGCGAAACGCGTGCCTTAGCGAGTTTCGACATTGTAAAAAGTACAAGAGAGCTCGAAAAAAAGCCAACGCCAACTCACCGCTAGCCAGGCATCTGGAGCCTCGTCTATGCGCATTCTGCTCTTTCTAGTGCCATCGTTGTAGCCAATGATCTGCACCCTCGTCCTAAGCTGCATGGGCACACCAACATCTCGCAGCAGAGGGGTTTGTTCGAAATAGGCGCAGTTATTTTTCCCCTTGCACATCCACCACCTTTTATTTCCCCAGCAGTTGAGGCAGCAACACCGACGGATCTTCTTTGAGTAATTGTCAAGTAGCTCTCCGCGAACTCCGGGCATTTCTTTGCCGTTTTTGCGCTCATTTCATATTAGTGGCAGGCACCGCTCTCTTTCCGCTGTCCTAGCTCGTGCCTTGGCTGCTGTAGGTCATGAGACGGTTTCTGAAGAGCCTGCTGGCCTTCCAGCACCCCGCGGCCTCCACTCTGACTGCGAGTGCTCCAGCAGACAGAAATACAAGCAGCATTCTGGATACTGCCAGACGCGCTACGTTTTTACTTCACCTCAATGGCAGTGCAGCTGGAAAAAATAAAATGCAGCAGAGCTTGCTGCAGCACGATAGCGGAAACCTACACATGAGCCCATTTTACAGACTGCATCGATATGCATTGATTGCGCCTCCTTTCCCCGATCAGCCCCAGCCTCTAGCAGGACTAGAATATGCTGAATCTGAGACCTCCTGTGCGTTTTCTTTCAAGAACTTTACTTCCTCATCATTTAACTCTGAATCAGGCCTCATGTACGTGCATGCAAACGCCGAGAGAAGGAGGAGGACTCCTCCCCCAATCCCCCCGTACAGCACATAATTGGTCCCCTCCTCGTCTTTTGCACAATACTGTCCCGTCTCTCCAATCGCCACAGTGTACCCATCTGTGCAGGTGCACATGTAGGCTGTACTCGTAGCCACACAGCGGTTGGCGGTACTGAGACTTCCGCAGGGGCTGGTAAGGCAGGGGTCATCCCTTGCACATCGATACTGCGCCGTTTCTTTCACCAAACTATGTCCCGTGAAGCATGTGCAGATCACACCCTGGGAGGTGTCCACGCATTCCTGAACACCCTCAATCCCGCAAGGGTTGGAGGAGCACACAAAGTGGTTGAAAATATCGTCACACATTAGTTTTCCTTCAACCTTCACAGACGTATAGCCCAGGTTGCATTCACAACTGTATCGGCCGGGACCCTCGTGGTAGCAGGCTTTGGTGGAAGTGTTGTCACCGCAAGGACTATCGCTGCACATATCCCTCATCCAGCAAGTCTGAGGCACTGTATCATTATTGACCTCGTAGTATTCCGGACAGGTACACTGAACCTGTCCGTCAACGAGCATACATGTTCCGGGATGGCAAGGTGAAGAGCGGCAGAGGTCCTCCACACACGAGGTGCCGTCGCCAATATACCCTTCGTTGCACTCGCAGTATGTTCCCCCATGGGCGACATCCTCCTGCTTACAGGATGAAGACTCAGGGCACTTGTTCCCATAACTGTCGCAGCTGCAGCCTCCATGACTGCTATCACCATAATGCAAGAGACCATTGCACAGGGCCCATTTGTTTGTGCACCATTCACCAGACTGACCATGCAGCATGTGTGTTTTGCTGCAGCAGTACGAAGGAGGGCACTTCAAGCCAGAAGGATAATCGCCATATGACCGATTTCTACATGGCCCCCCATCTACACTGTACTTGCACACATAGTTCCGGATGTCCTTGAACGCGGGATTCAGCCACCCACTTCCACTGCTTTTTGTAGAAGAAGCAACTTCCACTGCTGCTGTGGCTGTTTGTTCTAATGCCTCTATACCCGGATTGCTGTGCCCGGTAACGCTCCTAAGGGTCGAAGTTAACGCCAACTGCCCGGTGGCTTCCCCCGTTGACTCAGGAGATTGGGAAAGCAGCACTCCTTCCCCCTCCCCTTTTACTTCTGCCAATGCTGAAGGATAGACGCTCACGAAGGTAGCCGTCACAGTGATGGTGAGAAGAGACACAGCGAGGACCCTCAAGCCACAGAAGTCCTTCATTCTGCCGAGACCGCTAGAGCTTCCATCGAGCATTACATTCGGCCGATTGGAAGAATTCGATTTTAGGATTTGAGAAGTTTTGTTGGTTTCTGTGTGAAAGGAGGCACCAGCAAATCTGGTGTAGCCGGAGAGGGAGCTCCTCTACAAGGCACTTCAATGCGTCGGCAGCGGGCTGTTGGGGACGACGTTCTGGTTGCACCAGCAGCTGCCGTGAGGTAGAAGCACAAATAAAAGGCTTGGCAGAGAGCAGATCACCTTTGAATAGCCAAAAAGCAGGGCATGTACGTATTTAGCTGTATGTTGGCGCTACCACAAGCAAGCTTCTGCAGTAGGTCGAGCCGTGCAAGCACCAGCGGGATCTAGATCCGACTGCTTGGCACGCGGCCACATCATAGCAGAGACCGTGGGGTCTAAACCATATGCAAGAAATTTTCTCGCTACGCGAACACCTGCAGTTCGTGAGGCTTTGTGTTGGTTCTTCTAAGGGAGATTCTCAAGGGGATTGTTGGCAGCGGTTGCGATGCAAACATTTTCTGCTGGATACTACAGTCTTGAAACCGGAACGCGTGAAGTTCTCCCAATCATTGCACGCATAAAACCCAAAAATAGTTCTTGGACACAAACTCTATGCCTTTATGTCTACTGAATACCATGAAGAGGGGATGCCGACCAAGATCTGTAACCACAGCTAGCTGGAGATTCTTCTCTTGCTGTTTTGCTGCTTCTGTTATTACTGGCTCTAAGATTGTTGGTGATCTCACTCACCGTGATTATGCCGCTGCCGCTGTATGTGGTGTTGTTGGCCTTTTTTCAAGATTTTTTCCAGGGAGCAAAGTCCTGTAGCATCCGCCCCATTCACAGCCCGAAGTGAAAAAGACTCAACACACCAGCAGTAGGAAGCTGAAGAAATACAGCTCTTTAGACTTAAAAAGGTAGCTTCAGAGCTCAGGACGTCCCAAGAGGACCGAGATACATAGACTGTAACGGGCTGGTCCACCCAACACTTTCCACTACGCTAACTATTTTTTGCCAAGAACTGACATGTAATTGACCACTTGACTTGTCTTTTGTTACATTGTACTTAATTAGAGGTAAAATTAGCTCAGCAGAAGATAACGCAGTGTTGTGCTTGCGGGTGCTAAATGCAGTGTGCAACCAGCTGTGAATGCCCTAAGAGCTTAGAATATGCGGCAATTCACACTCTAGCTGGCCCGCTCCCTTCGCGTCGAAATGTTAGATAGGACGCGCGGGGGAAAGCAGGAGGTATTTTGGACAGCCCTCAATAACATTGTATCCAGTTTGTATTGAGTCTAGGGTCAAGTGTCTCCCTATGGAGACTTTGATGAAATGTTGCAGCTGGTAGCATCGCGTGGCCCGCAGCTCTCCCTCCCTCATCCACTGGGAATAAAATGCAGTGCCATGTGATTCTATCCTAGAGCACTTGCTGTCTGGTCTCAAACAAGCCGTTTGCTAGCTCAATTATCTTATATTCTCTGACAGGCGACAGGAAAACGCACCCCGGCGAAACAAGTAGACGCCAACACGACACAGACGCCGTTCTGCAAGCTTAAATGAACGTAATAACTCTAGAGCTAATGGAATCTCGTGACTTTGTAGCGAAAACAAATGTATGAGTGGATCTACGATTTTATGCAGACAAGGATAATATTACCGCCGTTAGGGTGAGCACGTACTCGCAGATTTCATCGGCGTGTTGGAGAAGTATCCCGCTCTGTTCACTACAGATAGAACCAAACCATTGCTTCTTTCGGCGTGTGTTTACTCAAAGAAATAAAAAGGCCGAATCCATTTTTGTAGAGGAAATCGCCTGCCTTCGGGGACTAGTACAGTTTACGCCTGCATACAACTCGACCCAGAGATTCATACCGAGATCAACTCAACATCAAGCATCGGAAGGAGAGAGAAAGCTAACGAGGGAGAGATTGTCAGTAGATCGGCTAATATAAAACGTTTTTGCCAAAACAATAGAACGTAGACGGAGAGCTGCGGTATCAGTGGTTACTATTAGGTCCATCCAGAGTGCGACGCCAAGGCGGCGCAGGATGGGCGGCGCCATGAGGACTGAGCAGCCAGCCAATGGCAATCATATCCATGATGTACTACTTGAGGCTTCAAGAGCAAATAAACGCCTCTTGTTTGTCTCTGGCTAGAAGGCAATTTCAATGCTGGAGCTAAGAGTTGTGGATGTCGGGGCTGTGTCAACAGGCGCCAGCATTCTGTCTAAGGTGGACTAGAAGAATATTCCAGACGGACGCTGCGCTCGAAACCAGCCCCAGCCAACCTCCCAACAGCTCATTTGCTTGCATTGTGGGAATTGTGTCACGTCATGAGGAGCTACAAGCACATGCAAAATAGCAAAGAACTTGAGCAACGGGATGCAGTTCCGCAGAAGCATGCTGTGTTTCTAGCCTTGAGATTTGGTCCCCGTGGATCGGCAGGTTTTCTGTGGTGCACCAGATGGAGTAGATGAAAAAGCATGCAACCAGGTGTGTAGGGTCATCTATCATTCTCTTGCAAACCAATTGTTTAACACTCTAGGAATCTCGCTCCAAGCTCTACGCGCCACGCAACTATCAATAGTGGCTTCCTAGAAAAGTCCTCCAACTCCTAGAAATATTCACGGACTTTAGACACAAGTTGTGCAGTTGAGTGTGTGTGGGCAAAGCGGAGCAAAATATTGCGAAAGCGCGCGGTTGGTGCCCGTTGTCTGTCTACCTGCTTGTGTGTGATTCGCAGTGGTCATATAATGGTCCATGTGTAGGCAGGGCCACATCAGCATTCCATAAAGTGCTAAAAAGCTTCTTTTCCCCATGTGTAATGCCACTTTAAAACGACCCTTCCAGAGACCAGTTGAGAGTATTTGGTCGGCTCTCTCGGCGACCAAGTTGCGGCATGGGACGAAATGGGCATATTGCTGAGGTAGTCGACAGCGGAGATGGTCCTCGGACTCTTAACCTCTCGGAGTCCAGATCAAATAAGCTGGAATCGATTTGGAAACCAGATGTGTTGGGGGGTATAGGGGAACCGCACAACAAGTGTTGAAAATCTCGACATGGCAGTGCACACTGCTCTATCGCGAAACGCATGCCAGGCCACCAGAAGAACCCTGAAAGGCGCCTAACCGAATATGAATATCTTCATGGCTTGAACATAATCAGGGCTCTATGAGCAAACTGGTATTATGGAATGAATGGAGTCGAACAAGCGATGGAGTTTCCGCCCTGATTCAAACGACATCAGGACACACTCAAAGTGGTAGTGCTTCAACAGTTTGCCATTCTGGATTTAGAAAGTAATTGAGAATGCGCTGGCTTCAAAGGCATACGATTCACTCACTTTTGATAGAAGTCGCGAATCCTCACAGCCAGGAGCTGTTAATGGTGCACATTAGTAAGTGGCTGGGGCGTCTCCTGAGCGCGTTTCGACCACGTCGGTGGTGCCCTGAATATACGTCACTATAGATCCATACTGCAGAAGGCAGCCAAGCCAGCAAACAACGCTTGAGTATCAAGTCTAGAAAACTCTGTATAAATCACATAAAAGATTCACGGCAGCTCAGGGCAGTAACATGATGCCCATATAAGTAGCGGCGGAAAATCTTCACAACCCACCACATTGCATACAGTTCCTTACACCGCACTGGATATTGCTGCGCGGCTTTGGTGAAACAATGAAAATGACAACTCTTGCCCTGATGTTTTGAAGTTTCCGCAGCTTGTTGACAGTAAATCAACCTAACGCTTCGTCATCAGTTGTTAGGAGAAAAGTTCGCTCGTAGTCGAGCCTTGGAAGTGCCCAAGAGTGTGTAAGGCGGCTGAGAAGCGGCCTTCATAGGGGGCATTACCCACCTCTGTCTTAGGCGAAGCCCGCTTTTTGTTAAGTAGATTAGTCAAGAAAGCCTCAATCCGAGCAAGTCCAGGAATGAAGTTTGGGTAGTAAAATGTAAGCCCACAGACGTCCTCGCTACGTCGTACCGGGTGCGTGGTGGGAAATGGCACACCTTGCTTGCTCAGAATTTGTCTATATCTGCCTCGATATGTGCATTCAAAGCAGGTAATACTCAAAACGCAAATCGGTTTCATGAAAGCGAACACTTGCGTGCCTTTACATATCACTGCTTGTCCCGCGGTAGCTACAGCGCACCCGTTAGGTAATGTAGGCGCTTTTAAACGTTGTAGCCAAGAAATAAGGCGTCGTCCATGTAGGCTGCCATCTATTCATCCTTGATAAGCTCATAAATATCCTGATTACCTGCCTTTGCAGTACAAAGTACAACCGGAGGATTAACACGTCCAGGGGTCATACAGTACTACTTGCCTCTACTAGTCCCACTGTGGAACACCTTTTTGTAACTGGCATGAGGCCGAATGAAGGTGTCTGTGAAGTCAACTGTAGCGCATAGTGTTGACTTGCGTAGTCTGACGAGCAACTAGCCAATAGGAGGCATTGGACGTTCCACACTAATCTTGCTCTGAGCCTTGGCGTTAATGCGCATGCGCCACTTGCCGTCTTTTTCGGCATGAACACCGAGGTATGGCCAAGGCGCTTGTTTCCTGCCTTTTGCCTGGAAAATCAGTCATCTGCTTGTCGCGAATCCTGTCTTTATGCTGTCCGGCCTCAGATACCGCAGAAATTAGTTTGCAATGGATCCAGAGATAAGCTTAATACGATGCGCTGGATGAGCACATGGCCCGGCCTGCTGGCAGCCCCTAATTATCAAAGACATTCGCAACTTCCTTGATATATGCACATTACTGCTGTTCTTCAGCTAAACTTTGTGTGAAATGCCCTGCTAAAGAGCCAGTGGCACCGCCAGTAAGGCCAGAAAAATGGTCAGATCCATCCTCTCTCACCGCAATGCCGAGCTACCCACATAAAGACTCTGGCCTACCTTTTGGGTAGCCTTGGTTACAATAGGTAAAATGATCGTGCTGAGGAAGCCATCAGTTACGTCTTCCTAGCGTTTTCCGGCACTCCAACCTCCACAGCATGCAGCTATGACGCCATGCTCTCTCGTCTTCTATTGGGTCACCCATGACATTTTTCGGATTGCCTCATGATGCAGTTTTCCAACATAGAAGCCAGAAGCCATGCTCAGAGAACGCGAGTCAGATTTGAACTTTCTTTTAGCTTTCGTAGCCTTGCCAATCCTTGCACTCGGTCACTCAAGACAGCAAACCTGTGCCTTAGGGATCACGGTTATAAACTAAACGGTTTGTACTTCTGCGGGAGAATAGCAGATTCACTTCCCACCCAGCTTCACGTCATGCTGGGAATTCCTGACCACTGATCAATGCCTCTATCAGCGCAGACTTGGCCGTTAGTGGGTTTTCAACTGGAGCTCTATCGTTTGCAGCCCCATTCATTGCGCCGGAGCTTGGGTAGGATGTCTCCCGCTTCACTGATATCCCTTCTTTTCTCGCCACACAGCCTGCTTTCCCGTGGCTGCACTCTGTTGTTCAACGTTTTTGCTATCCTGCATGAGCTTTCAGTTCCTGATTACGCCACGATTCCCCATAAGGCAAGCAAACGCATTGTTGGAAGATTGTGTGCGGTGCTCCAACTGCCCAGGCGTATACATTCTAGCGTTGGACGACTTTACCTGTCGCACGATGCTTTCTGTGCCAGCAGCTGGAAAGCTCTTACTGCAACTAAGCTTACATGTATGCAGGGCATTTTGCCGCCCGTCGTGCCTCGATCCCTTTAAGGAAAAGGGCTTTGGGCTTGAGGGAGTGAAGATCAGGAAGAGGGATCAGTACAGTTATTGACTACAGCTATTCTAGATTAGTCACCTCAGACAGTCGTAAAAGGTAAAGCGACGAAAATTTTTTGATGCTTAGGAATACATTCCAAGTTCAGGTACGGCCGCCAAGGATTATGAGGGATTAGCTTGGATGTCAATGCAAAAGATTTCCTCACAAAACGGACCAATCCGCTGTGGCGCAGAAAAGCGCAAGGGTCTATTAAATATTTTCCAGTCCTTCCCCATAAAACACCACACATGCAAGTTACCACAGGCTCATAGGAGGCCAAGCGCTTGATGCGAGAAAATCGAGATACACCCTGCGGTCGTTCATGCCACACAACGACCATACAGTGTGAGCATTCCCTCATGCTTGGATAGAAGATTGCCTCTTCTTTCCTGATGCAACCTGAGTGGTTCGAAGCGGAAGAAGCTGCAATTTTTACTGCACAGCAGTCTCTGCAGTCAAGCGCGGAGCTTAGCCGCAAGCCTACTCTATGGCCATTTCAGCGAGCGCCAGACAGTACGTGTAAGCAAGGCTTTTGCCGAAGGTATACGCCAAGAAATCGAATGGTTCAGTGCATAGCGAGTACTCAAGGATGTGGTCCTAACAGTGCAGAGTTGCTACGGTTTCAAACCATTGGTGGAGACAGCGTGCTGAGTTTTTCCATGAGACAGTAGGTGGTGCTGGCACCTGATCCATGAGATAACTCTCTGCCATGCAGGTCAGAATATCTTGAAAAGGCTTAATTCATCCTACTGGATCCCTCTTAAACATCAAGCTCGGTTGCCAAATGGATCGCTATTGGTTCATCTACACTACAATGCATGAAGTGCAGGCTGATGCGGACAATTCGTGAGACCTCTAGTTTCTCATCATGCCAAGTAATAAGAGGCGTGATATAAGGATTCTTTCAGTTCGCACTCATTAAACCCTTTTGAACTTTGGCAGTGAAAAGGAATCCCTCTTGTGCCACGCCGTGTAATCAAGCTTATCGCAGTACAACGCACTTTCAAACAGTACTGTCTCAGTAATATGTCGTGAGATACGAAAGCCTCAATGCGGGAAAGGTATGTGAATTCGGCGCACGTCGTTCTGAATGAATGACCCAGTCCTACCCCTGTTCACGCCCTTACACTGAAAACAAATGACCTTGCATAGCAAACTGCCTAGCTATTATACCCATTATGCAGCAGCTTGGATGCATATTCAAGGCTATCCAGGTCTTAGTTTGCAAGAGCATAATACGATGCATTGCTGTTGCTGCGCCGTAACCCCATGTCAAAGCTCTAAAGCCACACAAGATGCGTTCTGCTTTAGATTCTTAAACCGAAGCATCACGATGCTCCATTTGGGCTGTAGCATTGCATGCAGCGTCTAGATTCTGTGTGAAGGAGACAAAATTCCCTCAAGTCTATATCTGCGATGCGCATATACCTAAAATGTAGTAAAATAAGTTTAGGAGTACAACCGATATCTCAGACGTTTTCAGGTGTTATCTGCACATCACAGCGCCACTGGGCTTCTCATGAAGTCTGCAGGGGATTCGGCCACTGCACGCACCAGTAAGTTAGTGCTCTATCAGCAGGACAGTAACAGAAACAGCAGATGTATCGAGGGCACTAGACTGTTGCCGCAGCAGGGAGTCGCACTGCGCATCTGTTTTATGTACAGAATATATGCAGGCGACAATAAAGAAATGTGCAGGAAGCAACTAAGGCACAGTCCCCAACGACTCAGCTGTTGCCAATATTACTGTTGCTCTGGGTGCCTGACAGCACCTTGAGCGACATGCGAGTTCATGCTCTTACTATGGTAGGTGCCGCCGGTATTGTTTTCGCTGCTGTATCTTATTTGCTTGCAGTGTAAGATGTATTTCTCCCATTCTCTCTTAAAGTTTTCGAATTCTTCCAGCTGCTCGGGGGTCAGCACTGACGGATCCACGCGGGCCACTGTCGCGTAGTACTCCGCGAACTCAACTTTCTCCTGGAGTTCTTGTTGTTGCTGGAAGTCACGCTTCTGATGGTGCTGCTGCTCCTGCTGCTGGATCTCATGCTGCTGCTGGTACTGTTGCTGCTGGATCTCGCGCTGCTGTTGGATCTCCTCATCCTGCTGTAGCTGCTGCCCATGGAGCACATAGGGCTGCTCATGCTGAGTTTTGTACATCAGCTGGGACACATCCTGGTGCTGTGGATTCTCGCGGTGGCTTCGCTCGTGCTCCTGCTGAGGTTGCAGGAGCGGCCGCTGCGTCATTTGGAGCAGATGGTCTTGCTGCTGGCCATGTGTCACTTGGGCATGCAAATATTGCTCATAATAATGGTGTTCTAGGGCGTGGCCTTCTGGCTGAGGTTGCTGTTGTTTTTGCACTTTGCTTCCTTGTTGTAGCACCGACCGCTCCAGCACGTATTTGGAATCAGAACGATCAGCGTGCTGATGTGTTCCTTGGCAAGGCTGTAGGCCCCCTGATGCGGCTGCTCCTGCTGCTGGATCTGCCACTGCTGAATGCAAGTTGTTGGGATGCAGCCCCTCTTGCAGCTGATCTCTGCTGCAAGAAGAGACGTCGAGAGACGCAGTTTCACAGGCACTGGTGGTGGCACTTGGGACTGCTGCCCTTGTTGGTTGTGTTACGGCCGCTGTATGTACAGCATCTGGAGCTCCAGGGGCCACATCGGTCCTGGAATTCGACTGATGCTGCTGGTTGTAGTGGTGCTGAGGCTGCAAAACGGTTTCACATCCCATAGGCATGAGGCCTTGAAGGGCACTTGCTGCTGCACCTTCTCCCGGGACCCTTACTTCATGTGCTTGATGCAATGATGGTGGCGCTGTTGCTGTTGTTGCTGCTGCGGCCGCTGCCGTTGCAGCGCCATGAACACCTGCTCCGCTGTCGGAGGTAGCGGTTGTATCAGTCTTTTGGGTGTAATGACAGGGCGCCTCAGTCAAGGAGCACATGTACTGTAGCGCCTCTGGTACCCGCGTCGCTATCAATTCCAACAACGACAGCAGCTCCTGCAGGCAGACGAAGCCGCAAAATATGTGACAGCTCAGGCGCTGCGAAACAAGTCCGCTGGAAGATTTCGCATCGGTCATTATGCGACTCGTTCAGCTTGAGGCCTACACACTGACGAGGCGGGTTTGAGACTTACGGCTTGCTGCTCTGTGGCTCTCCGCAGTAGGGCCTCTCGCTGGGCAAGTGCAGCCGTAAGGCGCGCTACGTCGTTCTGCAGATGCAAACGCATTCGCATTCTCGACATGCATCCCTAACCCCTAGTCCGCAATCCTCCAGACGTCAAAATCAGCTCACAGCCTAAGCGCACCGCTGATGGAGGTGTGTTTTTGGCCTCTAGCTGTGCCTGCAAAGCAACGAGTTGTTCGTTGCGGGCCTGCAGGCAACACACTCAACATGCTAAATTACTTTCAACGGGGTGTACAAGTGTAGGCGTATGGACTGTGTCAGGCTTATATGAAATGCGGCAGCATCCCTCCGTAAAGGCAGGCCTCTTCTGCTTCTCTCCCTGTTTCGCAGTTTGCAGATGGTAGCTCCCCAGTACTCAGGGCCTATGTGTGATGTAGTACTTCTAAGGCTTGTTCTTGCTGCGCGTTTTCAAGAAGCAAGGCAAAGAGCTGAGCCTTCAGCTCCGCGGTTTCTCGAGCTGCCATCTGACGTTCCGCAGCTGCTCGCTCTGCAGCGGCAGAGCGAGCACACAGTAGCTCTTCCACCTGAACCGCATGCTACGTACATGCACGCGAGGGCCTGTAACAAGTGTGCGTTGCGCATTTCTGGATAAAGAGGCACAGCCGCTGCTTCAGGTACGTAGATCCATGGAAGTATGTAGCGAAGGGCAAAAATGTTTGAAGGGCATGCACCTCCTTTCCCAACGTGGCTGCTTCTGCAGCGAGCGCAGCAAGCAGCTCTGGTGCTGCCGCTCTCTGCATAAGAGCCGCGTGTCTCTCCGCCGCGGCGCAGTTGTGGCGAACAGACTCCAGCGTGTGTTGCTGCATGCAAAAACCCCCCAAATTGTGAACCCCATTCGCGCGCGGTTTTCTGCAATGGAAGAGGTGCTTTTGGCCCGTTAGGCGACAGCAGAGCAAGGCGAAAAGGCCGCTCGCGCTAAGGACATACCTGCCAACGAATGAGCTGCCTTGCCTGCGCGAGCAGTGCCGCTTCGGGAGATTGGGCAGGCACAGCGGCTGCAGCAGAAACGCCACACCCCTCAAGTGGTAGGCTTTGGCACTGCCTGCTCGGGAGCTGAGCTGTGTCACGGACAGGGGATTGTTGCTGCGCGCGCGAAGGCGCAGACGTGGAGGCTGTAGGGGTTTGTTATTTACCGCATCTCGATAGGAAGGCCTTAACGAGTTGCCGAGGACCTCTTATGGCAAGGAGCCGTACGAGTCCACAAACAGCCGGAGGGAGCAGATCCCCCTGTGGCAGCAGCAGCAGCTGCTGCTGCTGCTCGGGGGAGGCTTTGAGACACCCTTCAGCTCGAATAGCGGGGTAGGAGACTGCCGCAGCGGGAGCAGAGGAGGTCCCCGAGGAGGCAGCGGCATAGAAGATGGAGGAGGCGGTCAGCACGCACAGTAGCGATGCATTGCAGCAGGTTGCCTAAGCACAAGAGCACCCCATGCGCACTGCTTTGTGCGCGTCTTGCGCAAGCCACAGGACGACTGAAGTTCGCGGTTCCCACACTGGAGTCTGTACGGTTGGGGGCTTACTGTCGTTCTCAGAACGTCTGTGAGGCGCTGACAAAGGCCCTCGATTCCGACTGTCGCCACTAGCGTTTGGGCTGCGCTGGTGCTGTTGGCGCTGAAGCCGCTTCCGTTGCTGCATCCGGCAGAGGAGTCGTGTTGCTCTTCGTCTGCAGCAGTTGCCTCCTCTTGCTGCCTCAACACCTCGATGGACTGCTGCAGTATCAGCGCACTAAGGCCGCGCAGTAGCATCTGCTGCTGCACCTGCCCGTGCCGTTCCTGAGAGCGTGGCGGCGGCTGTTGCTCGTGTTGGTGCTGCTGCTCTTGTTGGTGCTGCTGCTCTTGTTGGTGCTGCTGCTCGTGTTGGTGCTGTTGCTCGTGTTGGTGCTGCTGCTCGTGTTGGTGCTGCTGCTCGTGTTGGTGCTGCTGCTCGTGTTGGTGCTGCTGCTCGAATCGCAACAGCCGCACCAGCGACAACGCACACAGGGGTGACAGCAGCAGGGAGGCCAAGGGGACCTGCACTGCAGCAGCGAACTCCGCAGCAGGCGCTATCACGGGTGCTAAGTCTGCTGAAGCAGGCTGCTGGCTAGCGGCGCTGCTGCTGAGGACGGCAGCACCGAAGGCGATGCACGGAGGGCACAGTACGCCGAGCAGCAGAGCCAAGACTGCAGAGATGCACGAGGCAGCGGCCCCCTGCAGCAGCACAACAAAGGCGCAACAGCCACTGCACGCCAGGTTTGGCTCAAAACATGCAATTTCCCGCATCTGGTGCTCGGAGCTGCAGGGAAAAAGACTGGGAGCACTGACTCCGGACTGAGGCGCTTCGGATTGAACGGCTTGTAGCAGTTGCGGCAGGATATGGGTGACCAGCTGCTGCAGCATTGGCTGCTGCTGCCGCTTGTTACACCGCTCCTGCTGCCGCTGATCAGGCTCCCCCAACACAGCGACGGGACAGACTAGCAAGTGCTGCAGCATGGGCAGGTTGTTGTGCACACATGAAAGCAGAAGGTGCAGCGCTCCAGCAGCCTGCTGCAGCTTCTGCTGCAGCTGCACGTCTACCGTGCACTCTGCCGCTGCCGCAGCTCCTCCCGTGGAATCTGAGAGGAAGGCGCTGCAATTGTTGCTGCCCGCTACAGAAGCAGCAGCTCTCCCATGCACCGCAGCTGCTTGCGTTGCAGCAAACGAAGCGAGCCAGTGCAGCAAAGCAGCAACGTGCAACACTGACGGAGCTAGCTGCTGCTGCTGCTCCTGATGCAGCTGTGCATCAGCAACAGGCGCCAGCAGGGATGTGCCGACTGCTGCAGGAGGCCCCTTTCCAAGACGCTGCTCGTTCTGTCGAAGAAGCAGTTGCTGCCGTTCCGTGCTGCTCACCGCACTGAGGATGTGCTGCAGCAGCTGGCGCTGCAGCACGTCGTTGCCCGCAAGGAGCTGCAGCAGCAAAAAAAGAAGTTCCCAGCAGCAAAGAATGCAAGCCTATTCCACTAATGTGCAGCACACCCGAATGCATGTGCGCTACACTTTCAGCGCAGAGAGGCACCTTACCAAGTCTACCGACGACAGGAGCATCTTCTGCAGCAAAAGGTCACCAGCCGAGAAGAGAGCCGCATGTATCAGCAACGCCAACGGCTCCTGTTGGTGCTCCTCGTGCTGCTGGGCGCCCTTCTGCTGCGAACACAAGGCAGCTGCAGCAGCTTGCGGTCCTGCTCCCCTCGCTGCCGAGATCAGTAGCTCAAGAGAGAGGGTGAGGATCTCCTTCACCGCCTTGCAGTGCTGCTGCTGCTGCAAACTCTGCTGCCGCTGCTCCTCCATTACCCGTCTTTGCTGCCGCAGCTCCTGCAGAGCAGCAACAAACTCGGAGGCAAACTGGCAGCAACCGAGAGGCAACCCCCAGCGCAACAGCGCCACACAGTTCTTTGCAAACTCCGCAAAGCTAACCCCTCTTTTCCCTCCAGCTGCCTCCACGCCTGCCTGCGCAGCAGCTGCTGCCGTTGGTCGTGTTGCAGGGTGGTGCTGAAGTCTCAAAAAGCCAAAGGGAAGGCCTGAGAGGCCTCCATCTTGCTTCGACGGTACAGCAGGGCAGAAGATGAATTGCTGCAGCAGCTGCAGAAGCAGTTTGGTCGCCTTGCAGATACTTTCGAAGGCAGGACGCTTGCCACTGCTGCTGGCACTAGCGCTGCTCGGGTGAAGCTCCGGAGTCGTTGGTGCCGCGGGGGGCGCTTCGCCTTGCAGGAGCTGTTGCTCGCTTGCCAGGTGCTGCACTAACTGTTGCAGCAGGAAGCGGAGGAGGAGCAGCAGCTGCTGCAGCACTTGCGCCTCCCGCATGTACTTGCATCCATACTCGTCTGCTGCCAGCAGCAGCAGGCAGCGCAGCGCAGCAAGGGCCTGGGGAGAAGCAGCGGTAAGCGTGCTGTTGCCTCCAGCAGCAGCAGCAGCGAGAAGAGCAGCACTTGCCCCTGCCGGATTTGTTGCATGCACGTCCGATAACGCCGGATAGTTCAGCTCATCAACAAGAACCTTCATAAGCGCCTCAAGGCCTCCCTGCAGCGCGCAAGAGGAGCCACAGAAACGGTATTCGCCATTTTGTACGGGTAGAAAATCTGTCCCCATCCATGGGGCGAGTCAGCCGCTTTAGCGATTCTGATGCCTCTCACATCGCATGGTGCCAGGCAGCTCAAGAAGAAAACCAACGAACCCTTTTCTCTGGCAGCCACGAAGTTTCTGCCCACCTGTATGGTGCAGGCAGCCCGCATTGGAGGCGAGAGCTGCAGCAACTCCTGCAAAAGCTGCAACACGAGAGCTCGCAAGGCTTCCCCTGTGGGACCATCAGCCTTAAGAGCTTTCGTCAGCTGCTGCGCGCATCCTCCTCCTTGCACGCATGCTTCTGCTACTGCACTGGCTAGCTCGCTTGCTGCCAGTGGCTTCTGTGGCGACTCCTGTTGCTGCTGCTTCTCGTAGCGCTCAAGGCTGCTTCCGTAGAGCAGCATGCGCCGCAGCAGGAGCAAGCAGTCCAGTTGCACATGGCTGCTGCCAAGCTTGAGCAGCAGCACCAGCGCTGCGCCTCCAGCAGTGCCAGTGAAGATACGGCGTAGCTGCAGCAAATGGGCTGTTGCAGCTGCTGCTGTTGCTGCTGCTGCGGCCTTGTTCGTTGTGGTGAGCTCCGCAGCTGCAGCAGCTGCTGCTGCAGAACCTTCGGCAGCTGCCGCTGTTGCAAATGCCTGAAGCTGCTGTCTTCTCGTCTCCCTGCTCTCTGCTGAATGCTCGCCAGCGCTCCTCATGGCGCTGCATGCGGCCTCTGCTGCCTCTGGCTGCTGCTGCAACACAGCCAGAATCTGCACATCAACAGGCGTTTCGTAGACGCTTGACCATTCCGTCTCCGCTGCTTCTACCAGTGTCGACCCAAACGCTGATCCTGCAGGTAAGTCTGCGAGCAACGCAGCCTTCTGCTGCTTCTGCTCCTCCTCTATGACTTCAGCAACCAGAGGAGAGGGCTCACAGAGCACCAGCAGCACCTCGAGTGCCGCTTGTATAGCCTCTTCGATAGCTGTATCTGATCTGTAGTCATCGTTGCTGTTGTTGCCAAGCGAGGCATCAGGAGATCGAAGGAGCAGAATAGAGCAAAGCAGCTCAATGCTGTGTTTATGCAAGGCAACAGGCGCCACAGGCCCAGCGCGTGCTGCTCCTGAAATAGCCAGTGCTGCTTTTCGTGGCTGCTTTTGTTGCAGCTGCTGCTCATTTGCTGCCTGCTGCGCGTGCTGCCGCTGCAGCTGTTTGCAGAGCAGCAGCAGCTGCTGTGTGAGCTGCTGCAGTTTTGCTGCAGATGCATCGTCGACCACAACAGTCTGGAGCTCCCTTGGCTGCACAGCTACCCCATCTGGCGCTGCTACTGCTGCTGCCACTTCTGGAAACAGTGGTGCCAGAACCGACTGCAGTCTCCCTAGGAGTGTGTCTGCTTGAAGCTGAGCATCTAGGGCTGTAAATCTATCTTTAACATTGCTGTTGAGCTTCTGAAACAGACGCAGCGCCATTGCTGCTCCTGCTGAGGCTGCTATTGCAGATATTGTACGAATGATCCAACATAGCTGCTAGGAAGCCCCTCTGTCCTCCTGAAAGTCACCCACGCGAGTCGGCAGCGCTGCAGCAGCCTCTGAACCCTAAACTGTGCCTTTTTAGTCGAGTTCTTGAGCCATCTGACGAAATCTGCATTATTCAGTCAACACAACTGGTGCTTTAGGGCTTAGGATTCAGGACTTACAGCTTGGGGGGGCTGCAGACAACCGCTGGCAACGCATGCGACTACCGAGTACGAGCCTCGCTCACCAGTATTCGTGACTATTAACAATGATGCGTCAAGGGTCTTCCTTATGAACGGAGTACCATTTAGAATTTATGATTGCTTGCCGCTCGTTATCGGGGAGAGCACCAACGCGCTGCTTGCTGTATTAAATGCGTATCTCGCCCCAATATCGCATGCTGTTTTCGTTGTCTCTATGGATAGCAAATGTCCCACAATATCCCAGTCACAGCGGCTGCTGTTGCCGCTTTTACTGCTCTTAGAAGAACAGCTTGGAATAATTCGTCCAGGCTTAGTGTGCATACATGCGTACGGAGCCTTGGTCCCCCCGTTAGCGGGAGCTGTAGCCAAGGAAGCAGCATCATTAGCGAAAGTATCAGTAGAGCCTATGCCACTGGCTGCCAATGCATGCGGCTTCGCGGACTGCCGCACATCCCATCCTTCAGCGTAACACCCAGTTGACCTGCCGCGGCCAAGTCTGAGTGTACTAGCGCCTGCTACTGTGTGGACTGTCCAAAAATGTGCACCTTGTTGCATTTTAGCGAATGATATTTTTATATCTAATGTTACTGCCTTGTGTGGCATGTTAGCTGTACGCGCGGCTGAGACTTCTGTTCCGCACTTGCTTACTCACCTTGTGCTACAGGCTGGGGTGACTCTGACACAGACAGAGCATTGCCTCTTCTTGTGTTGAGCATACAGTACTCTACAATACATGCGATAAAGGAACAGACAGACCTATTGGTCAATTGTTTACTAGATCTGAGCTGAATATAGCTAGTGTGTTGGAAAGTGGTTAGGCGTAGCTTGGTGAGTTGGATTCTTTGTGACTCGCCCTCCGGGGCACCAGTAAGGGGTCACACAGGGCAAGGAGTAGTCGAAACAGGAAAGCTCGGGAACTGTTTTCGAAGAAGGAGTCATACACAGCGCTGTGAGTTTCTCCTGTAACTTGGCTGTTCTTCTCGACATATACCTTTGTGCTTCTTTCAGGCACAGGCAATAGAGGGCAGGAGACAGTTAGTTAGTATAATGCTTCTCTCTAAGGTCGCCATAAAAAAGACACCTAGCCCCAGGCTCAATACACACTGCGTGTTTAAAGGAAGAATTTTTGCGCCTCCACGTGCAGTTCAGAGTTCCAGACATGAGGAGAGTAGAAGGTTAGGATGCGAGCTGCTTCATTCTTGGCTCCCTCCGAGCATGCGCAGCTAGTTGCACACAGCATCCAGCGCACAAGTGCACAACATTGCGTCTTCTTGCATTAAGCCGACATTACTTTGAAAACAATTAAATATGCGAACAGACAACAAGCAACTTGCTCAATTGTGTACTATTTCTGAGCGAAAGAATTAAATACAGCAAAAACGTGTATCAGGTCAGCCGGGAATATGCTAGAAGGTATCCAGAATTCATAATAAGAGACGCAGTGCCCTCAATGGAAAACACACGCCACAATCGAAGTGGTTAGACCCTCTACGTTGTATTGACGGTAGAACCGAACCGTGGCCTCTAACTTCGACGAATCTGGCTGCGCGTTAAGCATGACTTTTGTAGGCAGCGTAGTGGGTTGGCAGTTCCTCGAGGGTGTAAGGAATGCAGCTTGTGCTCCTTGACTGTAGGCTCCGTCGAAGCGTGAGAGGCCCCTGTGACGATTTTTTATATACCCATTACAGGCAGGTCCGTGTACCATAACAGCGGCGCCTTGAAGCCACCCGATAGACCAGCACTGCACAAAGCTTCGATCCAGTCCACTTTGGAGCAAAGGCAGTTTTAAAAGGAATTATTAGCCGCCATCTTGCGACACTGCGTCCCCCAGATTCTATTACCCTATAGAACATACTGATACCCACCTGTGCGGGTAGATGCTGCAACTCAAGGTGCACAACGGCTGATTGTAACGCGAAACTTGCAAAGCACTCCCCTGTCTACCTGCCCCAGCACCTAATGATTGCGGCGTGAGGGGAGACGGACAGCAAGGGTGCGCGAACCTTCAACGCCTATGCGCTCTCAGCCTTTAAGCGAATAGCCAAAAGAACTAGTTTACCCAGTGATTCTTTGTCAAATATAATTAGTGTGGTAGAAAGGGCACAACTCTACTTTCGCTCGCTCCATTGTTCATGAATCATCGCTACGATAGCTTTTGTAGAGCGAATGTATTAGGCCGTATGGTGCCTACAAAAGCTCTTAACTAAACGAGTATTGCAACAGCAGCGACTAGTGCAACAGTAGCAACACCAGGAAAAAAGGAATAGAGATTAGAAGGTAAAACTCTCCCTCATAAAGTGGCACACTAAAACCCCGCTGCAAATTACCTCTTGCTCGAACCAACAGCAGTTGGTTCTGTCAAGGTTACAACAAAGTCAAAATATAGAGGCTGTCTACACGTTTCTGGATTGGAACCGGATATTCACTCTGAAGGACTGCTGTTGGTGTGGCGGCTGTTCCTGCCGACCTTGCTTTTGCTTTTTCTGTTAAGCCTCCCCATGCGCCGTCGCAGTTGTGCTCCCGTTGCAGCTGCAAAAGCAGTACACTCAACTGCCTGTATCTCGAATGCTGCGATCCAAGGAAGTTGCACGGTAAAGCCCACAGGCAGTGAGGCGCTTGCCGCCTGTGCAGAGCTATTGCGGCGCTCCTAGAAGAAGGCCTCTTACAGTTACACATACCGCTGTATTTTTAGAGCTGCAACCACCAATTCTAGTCCTAAGTGCTGCACGTCCACCATTTTCCCATTCCACGTTTAGGTCAAGCCCAAGCGGCATTTAGACAGCTGTCTCAAGCGGAGACGTGGGCATGCAGACTTTTGGGGTCACACACGCGCAAATATGAAGACACAACAGGCAGATACAAGCCTGTCAACAAGTAATCGTGCACGCAAGTGCCGCACTGCAACATGCCGCACTACAGACAGGCATATGAACAGGCTGAGGAACACTACACACCTACTGCTGGGGCTGCTGAAGCACACATACGCGCACACACCGCCAGCTGGACTGCCTCGCAGCGTGCGGAGAGCGTAAATCTGTAGCAAGCTGCGACAGAATAAGCTCTTTCACATCGCTGATAAGGAAAAGATGCTAAACTCTAATAACAGGCAAAAGGCTGCACCAGCAGCAGACAAAGGCTTTAACGCACACAAGCCGCCCCTTGGGTGAAAACGATGCACTGGCCCCAAGAGGAAAGCTTCTGACATATAAGAGTGCAATACAGAGAGCTGCAGTGCAGATGGATCAATACACAAAGACACATCCTTAAACTGAGAGCATGCTGCAGTAGAAGCTGCTGCTGCTGAGGCTGCTTTTGTTGTTGTAACGCTGCCGTGCTTGATGTCGCTACCGCCGCGGCTACTAGACGAGACGGAAGCAGACTACAAGACCCTCAAGAGCCTCTAGTCCCAAACCAGGATTGCTGTGTCTTGCTGTGTATACAGCCCTCTGAAGAGCTGCCCATTGAGTTGTTTCAAGCGGCTTTGCTTCGCATCCGTCAGGCATTCGTTGTTCTTAAGAAAGCCACTGTGTACACGTCTCCTCGTGTACGTTCCAGGATGCTCTCATTAGGCTTCCTAGTAGTGCGACTGTGCGGCTGCTGCTGATGCCGGCGTTCACGCCTCTTTGCTGCGGAGTCAGCTACTTACACAAAAAGAGGCTGCGGCTTCAGCAGCAGATGTCAGCACGTGCAGACGTCTGCTGCACGAAGAGCACCCTCCTGCGCGAAAAAAGCGTGACGGGTCTCTCCTGGGGGTTCCATGTCTGCCCACTCGTACACATTCGCCTGTTGGAGGTGGTGGTGGTAACGGGGGTGGGGGTGGTGGTGATGGCGGTGGTGGTGGCGGGACAGCTGGTGGTGGTGCAGCCAGAATCCTGCTGCTGTGCTCAGTCTTTGCGCGTGTTGAGATGCTGCTGAAGCTGCTGCTGCCGGTACATTGAGGATGGAACCTGGAAGGCTTTGCCGGATGCAGCAAGGGCACTTAAGCCCCGGGGGTGCTCCAAGAGTCACCTCACCCCTCCAACGCGAGGCTTCCTCATAGCCGCAAGCCTCCACGCAAGCAAAGGGCCAGCAGTTACAGTGCAGAGTCACTTGCTGGTGTGGCTGTTGGAGGCGCAGCTGGCGGTAGTGCTCCTGAAGCCGCTGCTGTTGCTGCACGTCCTGCTGTACTGCAAGTAAGCCATTGTGCTTGCTACTGCGAGCGGCAGAAATACGAGGAGCAGCCGTTGAAATTTCGGCGAAGCAGTCTTCCTGCTGGTCTTCCTGAATGAGACTGCCGCAACACGCTGCCGCGTCGATACCCACAATGTCGTCTATGCCAGCACAAGAGCCCACACTGCGGGGCGAGTAGACTGCCACTTCAAAGCCGCTTTTTCCTAGAACGATGCTGGCCTCTAGTCCTGAAAACCGCCGCTGATGCTGCAGGGTAGGAGGGGGGGCGGCTGATGCAATTGTGCATGTGGAAGCTGCTCCAGTCAGAGTCGGAGGTGTAGAAGCCACACGATTAGGAGCAACCGGTACCAGCTTGTGTATGCTTATGCCGATGCTTGCTGCTTGTGTTACAGCATCAACAGCGGCTAGCGCGAGGTCTAATGCGTGGTTGTCATCAAGAGCGTGGGGGTAATGGATATCTGTTTGACGCGTTGTTGCTGCTTCTGCTCTCTCCACATCGGACGACAGGGGAGATGTGGTTGCTCTAGAGACCGTCTCCTCCGCCCAAGGACTAGGGCTTCTTGTAGAACGAGCCGAAGCAGAAGTCATGAGGTCTTTTGCAAGCCCTAGAGCATACATGCACGCAATGCATGCACAGGAAATAGGAAGAGGAACCCCAGGGGTATAATGAGTGGGCCTACGGAAAAAGGAAGCAAAAGGCATGCGCAAAGCAATATAAAAGCATAAAAAGAAAATTTTGAGAGAGAGAGGGAGAGCCTGTCCACTGAAGAAGACCGAGGGCCAGTGAGGAGAGATGGGGGATGGGGCGGAGAGGTATGGGGGGGCTTGGAACAAAGGACACCCTAGAAGGCCCAAGAATGCCCTGAAAGCATGAAAGGCTCTACTTTATATGATAATGGTCTATTGAGGAGATGTACCCGTTGCACTGCCGTCAACGCGAGACTTCGTATGGAGCGGCATGGAATACTCCGCCCAGGTTTTCGCGCAGATGCCCTGTAGTATTCTAGTTCCTGAGCTCTAGGCCTGAAGGTCTTGCCTATAAGTCCGACTCTAGAGTGCTCAGATTCCAAGTCCTAACTCTCCAAAGGCAAGAGGCAGAGGCAGCAGATGATGCTGCAGACCAGTGGGGAGCCGATGTTTGGCAGCTAAGGTCTCCGCAGGAGAGCCGCGCAGAGCATCTATAATCCAGAAAAGGCGTAGCATCAAAGGGTCCACAGACAAAAGATAAGAGGAAGAAAGGAGCAAAAACTGCTGCCTTTTTGCAGTGGGGAGCTCGTGCCAGAGGAGGTCTCCTCAGATGAGCAACGGGGCATCCCCCGATCCTATACTCCACAATATACACCAAATAAAAAGTAAAAAGATGAACCTAGTGGAGAAAAGAAGTCCTCTACAGGGGTACAGCTGCACCTCCAGCAGACAGTGTGACCAGTGGACAGCACGTGCATAGTGAGTGGCCGAAACGCCAGGAGCAGCACACCGCACAAGACCATCTTCTTTAATATTCACTTTAGTAGCCTCTGGTTTTTAAAATAAGCTTATGGAAGCTATCAAAACTATAAAAGCTTACTATAGAGCGAAAACAAACTATTTTACCTTCCTAGTACCGTAGACCCCTCCTGTAGCAGCTCACCTCCCAGTGGACGACTACCACCACAGAGAGCACGAAATCTGGCCTGGCTGATTAGTCTTTTGTAGCTTCAAAATGAGCCAAGCTACATCTTTTTTACTGCTGCATGCAGCATTACTGCAAGGGATATTATTTCTGCCGTTTGGCGAGGTCAGACTACTGCGGGTAGCGATGAGGGGGAGTCGTCTCAAAATACCTCGGAATCCTTTCAGTCTATCCCTTCCACCTATGCTTCACAATAGTCTAAAAATTGGTTTATGGCGGGGGAGAGAGGGTATTGGACGCAGCGCAATAGCATACGTGTCAAGCCCCTCACGGTAGAAGTATGCAGCGGTCCCAAGGCACATGAAATGCACAGGGACAGCGCTGAAGTGATCAAATCACACCAGAACAATCAAGCATAAATGAATATGGAGGAAACAACTGAAGGAACGGCAAAGGGACCGAAGAAAGAAACATTGGCGCGAAAGCGCCTACAAGAAAACGACGAAGGCGCAAGCAACGAATCCCTCATTAAGAGAAGGCAGGAAAGGGCAATAAACGGAGAGGAGCAGACGTTAGCATTTAGACTTACACCTTCCCCTCTACACCAGTCATTCATGGCACACCCCCATCTAGGTTTCTTCACTCCCCGCAGGAACTTGACCGGGCACTGCATGCTTTTGCATTTTGTCCATAGGTGCATGAACCATCAACTATGCCAAACTGGTTTCAAGCTACAACAGAACAGCCGTGCACCAGAGCTCCCCACTAACTAGCATTTGCTGTGGTTAGCTACATCTAAAAATTGCTATTTCATTTGGTCGCACGCCACACCTCGACTTTTAATGGCAGAACTACGAACGAACGTCAGGTCGCATGACCTCTCAATGCTATCACAGCCAGAAGAATCGCCAGCGCGAAAAGCTTTCTTATGAAGCAGTTGTCATTCTTTGAAATCACACAGCATGATCAAAATTTAATTTATCCCTAGATTTGCCTCATCTTGCTGACAAGCATACTCTCTATACTTTGTTTGTCGTGCCACGGCAACTTTCGCATACGTATCGTTGCTGCTACACCGCTATCCGCTTTAGCGAAATATTCATGGAAAGCCTCAAGACCAAGCTCTCGCATGTACCGTAGTACTGCTTCGGGGCTTTCTCCGCGCCCACCGCGGTAGTGAAGCAGTTCGCACAGAGATCTCCTAGCTATTCCACATTCTGTTCAACACGGTGATATCAGTACGGCGGACAGAAGCTGCTGGCTTCAATGTAGCGGCCTTAGGGGGAGAAAGACGAGAAAAGGAAAAATGCTGGATCTCATCCGCGCGTCCCCCTGCTACGAAAGCACCTAGTGGTGCTGCTGCTGCTCTGAAATTGGCAAAGGAAGCTGCCTGGGGCTTCGTCGTAGCAAGGCGTGTGGAAGCAAAGATCTAGGGGAGGTCAGGAGACAGTAGGAATTCACTGGAACAGAGCTACAGCTGGTGTTGCTCTGCTGACTCCACCGAACGTGCAGCTGCTGCTCTTGAGAGGGCTGTTCTACTTCACTCTCCGCTTTGGAGGGGGCCCTGGAGCTTGTTGAGGAAGCGCTAAGTGCTCCATGCTTGTTAGAGCGCTGCAACCACTGCTGCAGCCACTGGTCCGCTGCAGCAGCATCTGCTGCCCTCGCAACTGTTGCAGCTTTTGCCGTCGCTGATGTACCTGCTGGTGCACTTGCCGCATCGGCTCTATGTATTGATTGCGCACCGAAGAAGTGTTTGGAACGGGCTGGAGGGACGAAAGCAACGGCTCCTTCGGCGGTCGAGGTATGACCTTCATGAGAACAGGATTTCAGGCGAGGTATGTTGTGCAAGCCTCTTTCGTGAGCAAGTGAGGTAGTAGCAAACGTCGGTGGTGTTGTTGCCGCAACCCTGAAGGCTTGGGGAGGCAACGCTCTGGGCGTTCGGGCAGCAAGCCATCCAGCAAGGGCACAGACCGTAGGGGCGCAGGTCGTTGCAGAAGCAGTTGCTGCAGAGTCTTGCGCTGTTACGTCCTCTGGTACTTCTGCTTCTCCAGCTACAGCAGAGACAAGCTCTGTCCTTCCGCTGGTAGTGTAGGACCCCAGCTGCTGTTGGTGAATACTCCTCCAACCATTGCTGCCTCTGCGGTTACTACTAACGGTGAATAGCTCTCCACCGTTGAATTCAGCAATGCCACCCAATTTCTTCCTGCTACAGCTGCTGCTGCGGCTGCTGCTATCACTGCTGCTTCTGCTGGCCAGATCAAAGTACTGCGTCTTCGACGATATTTGCTGCTTTAGTGTGCGCTGCAGCGGCACATGTGGCTCACCCTCAAACAGCCACGAGCATTCGCCAGTTCGTATTCCACTTCCCCTGCCGCTGCTGTCACTGCTGCGGCTCCCCCTGCGGTGGCTGCTGCTTTCGCTGTCGCTACTACCGCAGTAATTATAGGAAATCCTTGGTGCTGCTATCTGTTGTTGCTCTGCGCACCTATCGCCACAGCCCAAGGTCTCTTTGGAGGACTGGGGCAGCGCACGGGGCCTCTGAGAACTCTCCATGAGGACGTCCAGATTTGTGGGGACCCCCAGCGACGCAAGTCGTGTGCGAAGGGCATCAATGAGCATCTGCTGCTGCTGCATCGCGCCTCGCTGCTGTTGCAAAGCCTGGCGATGCTGCTTCGCTGCCTCTTGATATCTCGTCAACTCGGCTTTTAGGTGAGCATGGATTCTGCAGTGCCTGCTGCTCCTCCTGCTGTTGCTACTGCTGCAGGCTTGGCAGGGACTGCTTCTGCCGCTACCACTGTGGCCTTCATCTCCCAATACCGGAACGGCAGGCTGCATCTTCTGCTGCTGCCTCCCAGAAGTCAGAAGCGTGTCCTGCTGCGACACAAGCCTCAGACGCTCATGCTGTGACAGCCCGGACTGGCCAGTATCCAGAACAAGTTCCGTCTCGTGTTGACCATGCCTGATCTGCACTCGCGTTTGCTCTTGCTCTTCCTTTTCCTGTTGCTGCGCCCCCTGCAGCACTGCCTCAGTGGCTGCCTTCGCCCGCTGGTGCATGCAGCTTCTTTCTTCATCAGTACTCCACAACGAAGCGTCCCTACAGCAAATGCTATTGCTGCTACACGTGCTGCTGTTGCAGGGCGTTGCTTCATCGCCGGAAGGGTTGCTGTTGGCCTGAAGCTCCAAACAGCTGGAGGGGCAGCTGCTCGTAGCAGGCGGTTGTTGCTGCACACCAGATTTCATTATTGGCGGTGCCTTACTGCTGGAGAAGGCGCTTTCGCTAGCAGAGCAGTTGTTGCCGGTGTACTGCATACTACCAGCAATACTGCTCCCCTGCAAGCCACCCAGGACCACTGAATCAACACGATGGCAAGGCCCCTGCCCACTGCCAGGAATTGGAGGCTGGCCTACTGATGCCACGCTTTTCCCCGCTTCGGCAGCGGCCCTTTGCACCTTTTCTGAGAGTGCTGGGGCTGTTCGTGGCAATACTGGCGGAAACATTAATGCTGTGGTGCATTCCGCAACGGCCGGTGGTGCCCTTGCAGTTTGTCCTCCTGCTGCTACCGTTTCAGGTCCTGACGTGGGTGTTGCTGCTCCCCCGCCTGCTGCAGGGAGTGCCTCGGCCAGCGTTGTTGTTGATGCTGACTGCGTCTGTGCTCCATTTTGCGCTGTTACAGCAAGAAGACCCTCTTGGTAGAGGTGGGGAGGCGAGGCCCGTGTTGCCGCTTTGGCTGTCTCTCTAGGACAGGCGGTTCTGGGAAGGAGTAAGGCCTGCTGCTGCTGCTGCAGTGCCAGCTGCTGTTGTTGTTGTCTCCTTTTGACTTTCTGTCGCTGCTGGAATTCCCAGCGAGGAGACATACACCGCACGAGCATGTGTGTATGCCAGCTGGGGGACTCCGGCAAACTGTAAGCAGAGCGCGTAGAGGTTCTTGCGGCCACACCTGCTGCTACTCCCGCTGCTGCTTCTGCTGCTAGTGCTGCAGCATCAGAAGCAGCCGCAGCCGACGCAGAGCAAAGCTCCTGGGAGTCAGCCAAAGATTCACTCCTTAACGATGTAGCCGTGCTGCTGCACTGCCCATGGATGCAACTAGAGCTTGTAGCAGCGGCAATGCGTCTGGCGTCGGTGCATATGTCAGCATGTTTGCTGCTGCTGCACCAGCGCATGCCGCTGGGGAGCGTCCCCTCTGTCCGGAGGGTAGGGGGGGACCCCGGAGCATCGCATGCTTGCAGCAAAACAGACCACCCCGTAGCTGCCGCGCCGGCTTGAGGCTGTGGAAACTGCTGCCTCTGCAGCTGCAGCAGGAGCTGCTGCTGCTGCTGGTAAGCGTGCAGTGGAAGAGGCCTGTGCCTCGTGGCCTCCATTGTCTCAGCCGTCCCTATTGCCGCTTCTAGTGCTTCACTTGTTAACAAGCGTTCAGGTCAAGCAGACTAGATACAATGGGGCCTCTAGGCAACGTGAATTCCACGAAGACAAGGCTTCCTCTCGGCAGGGTGCAGCGTGCTGGCAGTGCTGCTGCTAAAACTTCAACCCGTGTTCCTGGCTCTACCGCTGCTGCCGCTGCTATGCCGGTGCGTCAGACTCAGCCATGACAAGCGCGCTGCCCGAATAGGAGGTCAGCAGCAGCAAGCTGCGGACGAGGAGCACTCGGGAGCTACACGTTTTCGCAGCGAGTCGGAGCAGCGGCGTCTCTTTCTTTGGACAGGGCGGGAGGCGAGGGGGCCCTCAGCCCGTTCTGAGGTAAACGAGAAACTAAATGCATCAGGTGCTTCTTCTTTACACAGAAAAAGGCTGAAAATCAACGATAGACCCCCCGGAATTTTCCTGGTGAGGTGGCACTAGCTGTCCTTGTGACCCCCCGATTCGGGAGCAGCAGCAAAATCGGTTGCTTCTGCTACGACTACTGCTCATAGCGCCCTCTTTCAAACTATTATTATCTAAGCAGTGCAGTTTGCTGAGTGTTGCCAAAGAGTTTCTCCATGTTAACATTGGAAAGCCTCGCGAAGGGGCATGAGACCAACGGGCTGCTCGACCGGTCGACAGCTAGCGGCACGACTCAAACCCATTGCGTTAATATCTTTTCGGCGGGGTCTTACCCTTGAGTATCAGAGCTGACTTTCTTCGTGGTGTCGTTGCGCGTACATCGCACTGCCCAGAGAGAGCCTCTGTAGACATTTCTTTTGGGAACGTGGCATGGGGTTACGGTCAATGGTTTACGCGTGTTGCAGGCGACATGCCTACAAACCCTAGACGTAGTTCCAAATCACCCCAACTTAGCGTAACCAACTGTCAATAAAGCCTATACCGCTGGCATGTACACTGGAACCCAAGAAATCCATGCTGTCTGCCTTTCGGCAACACATGCTGTACGACATGGCAGGTAGTGGGCCAGAGCACCTATTGCGCACTGCGGGAATAAGAAATTAGCACAAGCTCACTAAAATTAGCTGTCATATATGTTATATACGGAGTGCTACTCAGAAGCTCCATCAAGACCCAAGCATTTCACCTGCCTCCGAGGGTCCTCATGCCACCGTACTCCCTAGGAGGGCTCCTCGTGAATTACGTAATGCACGTAGGCGACCCAGTCAGCTCGTGTTTACTGCCTTACGGTAAACATCGGCCCCTGCTTTAACCACTAAGCCTCATGCAACATGAAAATGCGGCCAGTGCTCGTGTCCCCGTTCCCCGCCATGCCGTAGGCTGCGCTCAGCACCATCGCTATTGCTACTGATGCAGACCTTTCAGAACTCTGCCAATCCAAACATTACTGCTCCGGTTATTCTCTTGAAATGCCCTGTCCAGCAGTTTCTCCTGCTTTACCCCTGGAAGTAGCACATACCATAGCTGCTTGCTGTTGCTATTCCTATTCTTTAGCGTTTGCTATAAGTTTTGCTATTTCTGTTAACGAAGCAAAGAAGCGTTCTGCTACCACCTTTAGGTTTCGGCGATATCTGCTGCTGTAGATGTTTTGCGCTTGAACGAAGCATGCACATTATCTTATCGCCCCTCGGCCGTGGTTTTAGACCTCATCCAGTAGGGGGCTTTCTCCATGAAAGAAGATCGGCCAGAATCAGAAAACTCCATCCGTAACCCTCTGTTCGTGCCTGCTTCTCTCTTTCTCGATGTATTTTGTTTTGCTTCTTCCTCTCTCTGCTCCTACTGTGGCATCTGGTCCTGTGTTCAAACCTGTGCGTTTCCCTACATACCTTCGTCTTCCTGCCTTTATCCCTCGCTACCGGAATTCGATATCACTTGCTCGTCGTCCGCACTGCCCCGCCCTTGCAACAGAGTTTCAAATCTCTTTAAGTCCCCCGGCAGCTTAGATTTAGTCTCAGATGTTGCAGTTCCCTGTACACAGATAGGAGGCGCTGCTGCCAGTATTCTATTCTCTTCTCTTTTTCTCGTATAATCTCCCTAAGGATTACCTCAACACGCAACAAGTGCGGTAGGCATTTTACGTACTCCACCAGCTGCGTAATCTGCTGCTGCTTCGGCTCCGGCTGATCGTCGGCAAATCTTTTGCCGAAAAGTAGCAACTCTGGAGGCGGTGACAGTTGCTGGCCTCTGCGAAGTCCGTTGGCATGACGTGCAAATGTGTGTGGGGACGTGATGATCTTGCTGCTGTCGACATTGTTACAGCTGCTCTGTAAAGGCTTCCAGCCGTCACCACCACCACCATCAGTACATTTCTCGCACCTTGTCGCTAGTTTTGGCGGCTTTGGTGTGTAGTAAAGAAGTTTGGGAACACCTACAGCAGCGTAAGGGCAAAACGCTCCAGTGCTTTTACGCAACAGCCTTCGTTCCAGCTGGCAAGTCAGTGCAATTCATTTTAGGAGCAAGAACAACAGTGTAGACACCAGCAATAGGGATGCGAACCGGCTTCTGATGCGTGCACTGACCATGCAACAGAAGACGCGCTGGGCCCGAAAGAATTAGCAAGTCGCCAGACCGCAGAACAAGAGGCAGGGGCTCCTCCCTGAGTAGACAGCAACCTTGCCAGCATATCCTGATGCATCGAAATACGCAGAAAAAGCAGTAGCAGCAGATTCCACAGCATCCCTCTTACTCGCGAGTGCTGCCGCCGAGTAGAAAAAGACAAGGGAGACCTAGGCTGCAGACACACACCCACGCACACGTTGCACCTTGCTGCAATGACTACAATGAAAATCGCAGTGCCTTCTACTAATGCTTCCCCTCAAATGCTGCGAAGGGGGACGCGCATAGTAAACTAACACGCTCGGCAGCAGCATTAGGAGCAGCAGCGGCGGCACAATTCAGCACAACTAGCCGCAACAACACGTGATGCGAGACCCAACAGCTGCAACACTGCTCCAATATCAGCAGCAGCAACAGCACCAAAAACATCACGATCCGTGGCAACAACACCAGAAAAGGCACCAATACGCTGGGCAGCAGCAGGAAAGGCAACCGGAGCGGCAAGGCAGGCGCGCCTGATGGAAACAAGGGGCACGAGGCCATTGACTTCTGCATCATCTTTGTGCCCCCTCAAGCGATCTCCTGCTCGATATACATTCACCAGAGCAGTCTGCATGCACGCCATACGCCAGAAACACTCTTGCATTGTCGGTGCTGCTCCTGCCGTTTCTTCGTTTTACGTAACTTGGGAGATGGGAGGCCCTGTGTAAATCGCGCGCAGACGTACCTGCAGATATGCAGCAAGCTCTACAGCAGCAGCGGTAGAAGCAGCAGGAGCATCAGGAGTAGAAGAAGAAGCAACTGTCTGTTGTCGCTGCAGGTGCACGGTGTTCAGGGCATAGCCCGCAAGGTAGTGCAAGACCGCTGGTAGAACAACTCCGCTGCTGCTGTTGCTACTGCTACTGCTGGTGATGCTGTCTCTGCAGCAGGACTGTGCATCGTTGAGTCTTGCAAGAGAATCACTTGAGAGCTGCTTCTCTGAGGGATCCGTATAGTAGGCTCGCCTACCCCAGTCATACACTTGAGAGCCGATCGAGGACCAGCGCAGTTCTCGAGGAGGCGGAAGGTAGTGCAGCAGCAGTCGCTGCTCGGCCATGGCTTCCTGCTCCGCAGCAGTAGCACCAACCTCGGATTGGTGAAGCTGCCATTGCCGCCAAGTGCTGCTGATGCTTCCGTTGCTGGTGAGCGGCAGGGTTCTAGGATCACCTGAGAGCTGCTTGAGGGCAGGCATACGGCTACACTTCCGGAGCTCTGTACTGAGTGTCAATGCAACGCCTTCAGCAGCAGCGCAACCGGACTCTCTTGATTCGCTGCTGCAGCCACCCCTTGGAATCGAAGCATTATAGCTGCCTTGCACCTGCGACGGCCTCTGTTGCTGGTGCTGGCAAAGATTGCAGACCGCAGGGGGCCTTAGCAGCGAACAGCAGACTTCATCGCTCAGCAACAGTTGCTGCGGGAGGGTCAGGCAGCCTGGCAGCAGCCACGCTCCCCGACGTTCCTGTATGGCATACACTCTAGCAAATGCAGCACCTGCTGCCGCTTCTGTAGCTCCTGCCAACGCTGCTGTAGCTGCATCCGGAGGCGAAGCTGTCTCCTTAACAGCAGCCGAAGCAATTGCTTCCGCTGCTGCTCTGGCTGCTGCTACCACAGCCGGGGATATATCACTGCTGTTGTTGCTGGAGTCGCACGTAGGAGCTCTCGATTTGCTACGTCTGCTTCTGCTGATGGCAGCAGCGTTGAGCTGTGCCTCATCAAATTCCAAGTGTTGACCTGGAAGCCCTTCAAGACCCACAACACTCATGGATATTTGCTTCAGATGTTCCCAGTTTTGCTGTTGGTTGCCGTGCTGCTGACGTAGGCGTTCCTGCTCGTGCAGTTGTTGCTGCGGCTGCTGCGTATCTGGCTTCTCACATTCCTTTCGCAGCAATATGTGCACAAAATCTGCTTCTCTAAGTGCCACTTCAGCTGATTTGAACCGATCAGTAATCCTTTGGAGCCCGTGCGATGGGAGATCCTCGCCGAATGGGGCCCCTTCACCGGGGGTAGGTGAACCCGAGGTTACTTGTGCAGCCATTCCTGCTCCATCCTGGAGTCGAAACATCCCCCTAAGAAACCTCGCACGCCCCTCAAGGCCATCGGCTGTGGCTCTCCGTGCATGTAAAGCCACGATGAATTCACTTGCCTGCGGGCACGCCCAAACCGCAAACTCCGCATCGAACACGCTTAAATCGAGTCCCCGGAGCCTCAGCCTCGATGAGGCTTCTATTTGTATGCGTGTCTCATCCAAAACCTCCGGAAGATAGAAAAAAATGCATGAAGTTCTATCCGGGCTGCCTTGGGGCCCGGGAGAGGCCCCTCTCTGGGGCTTTCAATGGCTAACCCCCCACCAGGCCCGTGCTAGGGGTCACCTGTGCTTGCCTGAAGACCTGAGGCAGAAGGTCTGCGTCTTCGCTCATTATATGTAAAAATACAAAGCAGTGGAAAAATTAAGGTCTTGACGCTTAGGTTGGGGCCTTTGCATTTCATTTACCTCAGCATAGAGCCCAGGACATCTGTGCTGTCCTCTTGGGAAACCACGAAAAGACGAAAAAGGAGTAGGGCTCAGGGTGCAGGGCTTGAAGGCTGAATTTTAGATATTAAGTGCGAGGAGCACATTTTGCGTGCTCCGGCTGTCTGAGCCCTGCGTCCGGTGGTGGATGACCACGAGCCTTTTTGACTAGGCATTTAGTTTCGAGCAATTCACTGTATTTAGACATGGGATTCCAGTGAGGAAAGGGAACGACAGGCCTCCAGAGGCTCAGGGGTCCCATCTCAAGGGAAGACTGCGAGCCAATGTAAAATGGAACTGTGTGGTAAGCTGAGCACGCCGCAGAATCAGGGAAAACAAAAGACGTGAACGAGGAGGGAGCAAACTAGGCTGCATGTATCCAGCTAAGAGAAGAAAAATATAATTGGCGAAGCCAGGTGGTATGAATGAGACAGGAGACTGGAAGGACAAACCCTGCTACACATTGCTGCCCCTCCATGGCTGTCATGCCCTAGTAATCCTTAGCAAGCAGGTCACTTATGCGCTCATCGAGAGCGGCTCTAAACGTTAGAGTTTCTTCTGAAGAACGATTTCAGTTTAGAGTTTTGGGACTAAGAAGAAGGATCCCAGTATTGATCTACCTCGCGGGCGTCAAATCTTTGCAGTCCCCCTAGCTTTCCGACGGAGGACCCTTACGCCATTTGTTTCAAAACCCAGATGCACCAGCAGCACTTGCTGGAGCAGGTTGTAAGGCCTGAGGACACCTGGCGTGTGCAGCAACAAGCAAATGACCAGGGCCTCCATGAGTCGAAGCAGGGCAGCAGCGTTTGCTGCAGCAACCGTTCAACCATTGGTGCTATCCTTGTGCTGCATAAAGGCACGCGTGGAGCCCTTAGGCTTCACAGTACGCTGCAGGGCGTTCTCTTGCACCAACTTAACCCAGGCTTACAGGCGGCGGCTGCCGTCTTCGAGGCTCCTTGTCCCTTCTACCTAAAGCAGCAGTTGCTCCGCAGTGCTTCGGCTCTGAACTTTCAGAGCGGCAATGATCGGCAGCAGAAGTATGCAAAACAAGATATATGGTACTCAGAATCTTTGGCAGACACAAATGCAGATCCATCAACGTCCGAAGGAGTTTCAGCTTTGGCGAATCACCCAGCCACAGGGTTTGGAGCCGGAGCAGTAGACGCCGGTGACGGTGTTGCAAAGCGTGGTACGAAAGAAACCACGCAATTTATCTGCATTTTTGGCGAAAGCAGTAATAGCAATAAAAATAGCCTACACGGCCAACAATTTACGTGCTGCTGTAGAGGCTGCAGCGACACCGGTACGAAGTCTGTAGATTTAGTGGCAACGTCGCCATCAGCTGCAGCAAACCGGTGTTCCATGTGCAGCTTGTGCTGCAATATCGCTCTGCGTTACATTGGAGGTCCTCAAGTGACATCGGTCTGTTGCATGGAAAGCCAATCAAAGCCTTGGGAGCACCAGCGGCAACTGCTGCTGACTACCACCGAAGGGGCGCTGCTTTCAGCAACAAGGTATTCCAGCAGCAGCAAGAGTAGTGACAGCGACTGGAATATAAAAGCTATCCCTGGTGGCAGCAGTGGCTGTGCCTACAAAGTATCTGGTGGTGCTTCATATGCTCTGATTGCTAGGGAAAAGGGATTATTTGGGCTAGGTACTTGCTGCAACGGCGAGCTTCTGCAGCGGCAACTAGTGTGGTGCTGCTTTGCGCCCCGTTTACTACCGTTTCTGTCCAGTTCGCGTTGCAGCATTGCTTCAATTTGCTGCAGTACGCGTCATGTCGTTGCTGCTGCAGCAGACGGTCGCTGCTTCACTTGGGGCAGCAATTTTTGCGGCGAGCTGGGGACTGGCAACGTTGGGCCTGTGCAGAAAAGGCCGCAGCCATTGCAGCTGCCACAGCCTATCGTGGCAGTGGCTGCTGGTGAGGGATTCACCCTGGCGCTTTCTTCCATTGCTGTCGCTACGCCTCTCATCAATGCACGAGAGGCTTCCGACGCTGTATCGAGGGATGGATCCGTGTGGGCGTGGGGCCTCAACTGCCACGGCCAACTGGGTCTTGGCGACAAGAGTCCTCGCTACATCCCACAGCAGATTATGCATGCCTTTTACAGCAGACGCACAATTATGAGCAGCAGTCTTTGCGCTGTTGCACCGCTGCCCCCAATAATAGAAATTACGGCTGGAGCTGGGTTTGCAGGACTGCTTACTGAAGACGGGGCTCTCTTGCTGCAAGGACGCCCTCCATCCACGTGCGCAGATCAGACAGTGCAACAAGCTTGCAGCAGCTGGTGCTGCTGCTCAGATGGCACCACCTGCACTGGATTTGCTGCCACTTGTGGAGACGTATGCATCCCTAGTGAGTCTTTCAACCAAAGTCCCAGCATTTTATTTCGGATGCCGTGTTTTGTATGGGTTGCTTTTATTCCTTTTCAGTTTGCCATTGCCTTTGGTATTTCCGTTGCAGCGGAGGTTGGCTTTGGATCTGCTCTTCCCCTGAGGTTCTCCAAGGTGGCCTGTGGGGCTTCCTCTCTAGTGGCCTTTGCACCAGCACAGCTGCAGCATGTGTCTCCGCAACTACTTCCTGTTGGAGGTGGAGGCCAGCTGACTCTCAAGTTTGTGGGACTTCCCGTCTTCCAGCTGAAACAGCAGCAACAGGAGCACATTTGCTGCAGCTGTTGCTGTTGCAGGCTTCAGAGCCACGGTGATACTCTAGCAGGACACGGTCAACAAGACCTCGAAGCCTCCCAACCCGTATTGCTACGCTTGAGGGCACTACATAATCCGCATGACGTCGGTCAGCAGCATCTGCAGCATTTGGATGTTATACTGAAAGCGTGGCTGCGAACCAACGGGGTTGTAGTTTGCCGCTCCCCTCAATTGCGTGCAGCGAAAGAGCTAGCCGACTTTTGTAACCTGTCCACGCCGTTAGACGACGTGGTAAGCTTCGAAGCTCTCACGAAGGGGCGGCCTCTCCAGTACAGCAAGTCGTGTGCTTGGGACCGAAGCGTGGGGATTGCTGCGCCCGCCTTCGGTGAAGGTGAGAAGCGGCTCAAGCACCGACAAGGGAAACCGGAGCAAGAGCAACACGAGAGACAGCACTGTTCTGGGTGGATCATTTTTGGGGAATCCGGAGTTGAGCGGCGGGACGGTGAAGGAGCAAGCTCGAACTCTTTGACGGAGACCCTCCTTGCAAGCAGTTATCCGCAAGGTACTGTGCTACAGTTAGGACCCCAGGGTCCAGTGGTAGGATCCCACAAAGAGGAGCTCAGGAGCTGGGTAGCGTTGCAGAAATGGACAGCGGGGGACTGTTTCCTCCCCACCGAATTGCAGGTTAGGCCTTTGTACTCCCCATGTGTAGCATCTACAACTGAATAACTTGTAGTTGTGTCAATCCTAATCAGGTACCTCGAAGAAACGCATAGGTTGCTAGCTAGTACGTTAATAGCGCTTTCCACTTTTAGAGGAAAGTAGCTATTCTGAAGGCTAATCAGCTGTCTACCCGGCTAACGAGCTACTTGGGGAATCCGGTGGCAAAGCGGAGTGCCAAAGGATTGCTTCGCAAAGTGTATGCCTACCAAGACAGGGAACCAAGTCTGTGACCCCTAAATACGGCAAACCACACGCGGAATTCAAAGAATAGTTTTGGGGTCAGTCGGGTATGAGAATTTTGATTTAGGTGTCTGTTGACGGGAAGCACTGGTCGGTGCCATCTCCTTTGAGAGTTTCCTTTTCCGCCTTTCCTGACGCTGTACTTGGTGTCTTCCCCTCTAGCGCGTCTATAGAAGGTATGTCACGTAGACCCTGCTACTCTGCCTACTTTTTCTAGTAGCAGCAGCCTTCAATGTGATTTTCATCGAAACACACGTGACAAGGGCCGAGTTCATTGCCGATGCCACCTTCCAAGCCTATTCAATAAGGAGCTTGGCGGCATACTTTCAGCCTTGCAGCTCTGTGCTTCAGGCGGCCTTGCCTTGGAAGTGCTGCTCGATCACTCGGTGCCCCCGGGGGCAGACTGCACGGGAGCTGCTGTCTGTTTCACTGCTTTGGAGGAAACAACCCAAAGCGAGCAGCAACAAGACCCACAGGACAAGCACCGCTGTTGCTGCCAGCTGTATGCACCTGCCACTTTGCTGCCCAGCAGAAAGTCTCTCAGGTGTAATGCCCCCCCATTTAGTAAGGCGATTCTCTCGAATTGTCAGCTCCGGGTCTCCGCTTCCCTTAATGGTACGTCAAAGGCACTCATGAGCCTCTTTGGCCCTGTGAAGGGATACCCAGCTGCCAATACTTGCTCAGTCTAGGGCACCCTCACTCACTAGCTTGCTTGTTGCAGCCAAGCGTGACTCTGAGTAACAGCTTACCCGTCTGCGGCTAGGTGCCTGACTTCACCTGGCGGTTGCCGGTTGTCCATGGGAAGCGCCCGCAGCAAGCGCCTTGTGGCTAGTAACGTGTTTTTAAGAGTCTGCAATGGTGCTGTGCAGCGAGTTGCATGCGTTTTGGTCAGGTGTGTGCTTGGTCGTCAGGACAACTGTTCACAGCCATCTCCGCTCCGTTTTGGTTATTGTCCCCAGAGGATTTAACAGTGTCTCCTCCCATTGGACCTGCCGGTTTGCCCATCAATGTAGAGCTCAGCACAGCGCAGCTCGAGGCTCTGCCTCCACAGCGGCTCGAGGAACTAGAAACCTACATGGCATCGAGCAACAACAGGGCTTTTGCGTGCTGTTGCCTCATCATACACCCGGATGGATCCAAGGAGACCATATCAGTAGCGATGCGCAACGGAAGCCTCCGGGCGACTATTCCGCCAGTAATGCTCGAGGCAAGTCCTGTACTCCAACTAGCCTTTCCTGCGGCTACCTCTGTTGCTCTTGTCCCCTTGTGTGTATGCTCTTTCTTTTACTGCTGCTGCTGCGGCTAGACCAGCTCATATTGCTTAAGCTTCCCCATTTCCACTAATGCATCTTGTTCAGCCAGAGGATACAGCAACGGGGGAGGAACAGAACCAACAGCAGGAGTTGCAGCAGCTGCCGCACAATCGTGATCAGGGCGTAATCTCTAAGTGTAGCAGCAATGGAGTATACGAGCTGCAACTTCTCTTCTCCTTTAACGGCCACGAATTCAGCAAAACACCCAAGAGCTTTCAGGTGTACAGGCAGCTACAAGGAGACCTGCTTCTGCTCTTCACGCTTCCCCCAACCGCTGCTGAGTCCGTTGGTGGCGTCAATCCTAACCCTTGTCAAGCTTCTAATGCAGACATGTTTGAGGAGTCACACTGCACAAGAACCTCAGGAAATCTAAATATATCGAATGGTTTGCTTGGATCCACAGAAGGAGTAGCAGCAGCTGCTGCTGTCGCGGCGAATGCTATCGGTGTGGGTGAAGTTCAACAGGTGGATGAGGATGCAATCTTGGGCAGCGGTACTTTTGCTGCAGTGCTACTGGAGTGTGCAGTGGCCATACACACTCCTTGCTTCCGAGTAACGGTACATCCAGACGTTGGTGCTCCTAGCAACCCAGGGCTTCATGGCCATCGAGTTAGCAGCGGGCGTCGCTCTATGCACAGCGGCCGCCCGTCAATCAATACAAGTGGAATAACCGATGCTGCTGTTACTGATGCTGCTTCGTTTGAGCTCACTCCCGATGGATCCCCTGTACAGCTACTGATTCCTGCTGCTTCTATCAGTGGAGTGCAACAACAGGTTTTGTCTTGCTTTGATGCCAGTAGCATGAGGTCCAACAGGAGGAATCCCTACAGGGACAGAGCAACTAAACAATCAGGCAAAAAGTCCTCCTCTGCAAAACCTGGAGTTTCCAACAAGGGTGGTGCTCCAGCAGCTTTACCTGGAAGCCCCAAGGGACTGGCATCGGAGAAGCAGCAAAAGCAGCAACAAAAAATGGGAAAGGGACATCAGCAGCAACAGCAGCAAGAACAGGGGGCAGAGAGTATAGAGGAGAGCCTCCACAAAGTTATTGTGGTCAGTCATAGGTGGACAAAAGCCGTTTAGTCCAGTTCCTTGGTTTTTAATCTGCTACTACTATTAATGGCTAGCTATTCACAAGAGAAATGAGCTGTGCTAACGATCTCTGAGCATGTGCCATGCTACTCGTCGATCGCTACGCCTGCTGCGCTCGTACCACTGTCTCTGCAGTGTGCGCTGCCCACACTTCGAGCCAGCAGTGAGGGGCATAGCATCTGCACTCTGGAAGTCTCCATAGACGGCATGCATTTCGTCCCTGTGGGAGAGGGCCGATCCCTCAAAATCAGAAGTCCGCCCATCACTAGCAACTCTAACAAAAACATTAGCCAAGCAAAGCATACACCGCCTCTTCTGGAAAGTCTAGATGCTGTTGTGCCTGCATTGGTGCGAACATGCTTGTGCTTAGCAAATACAGCTCTGTAGCAGCTATTTAAAGAAGAGACTGTACTGTGCCTGTGTGCGTTGCCGCATCAGGACAGCTCAATGTGGATGCGGCTGAAGCACGTGAGTTGTAGGAGTGGGTCTACATGGCTTACCAGTCACATGGCTCCTCCATTAGACTTTCAATTTGATTCTAACGGTTTGGACCACGATATAAAAACGGCAAAAAGCAACACTTTTCAGCCTTGGATACTCGTATAAAGGGGTCTATTTCGATGACCTTTGAGGGGCTCTTTGTACCCCGCCAGAAAAGGCATTGTGGTCTGCAGCCTCCTGACTTTTTTGTCTTCTTTGGAGGATATCCTTTAAAAACTTCCAGTGAACACGGCAGTACCCACAGCGCACAATTTTACAACGAGTTCTCGGATTTCGCAGAGTTGTAGCGCTATTTGCGGGGGGCTTGTTCCAACCCTGTAAACTCCCCGCAGGCTGCATTGAGAGTCAATTTCGTAGTACATGACAGCAGGAAAATGAAAGGACCAGATGCTGAGTAGACTCACTGGCAGCAGCAGAGGAAAAAGGGCAAATGCTGAAGTGGTTACACGCTCTGATGCCTCATGGCCAGCCCCACACAGTAGCTTACTTACACTGTCCTGGGTCATGGAAGAGAGTGAGCCGATCAGACCGCATCACGATGCACAGGCAGAAAGAGGATGTCAAGCGGTATGGCACTATACCCAGTATTCGCATACATGTCCATGTATGGATCATTATATCTGAGCATTCTGTAACTATATATGTAGTCGTACGTGACTATATCCATTCGGAAAGCCACGTGAACCTGTGCTGGTCACCTGGAACTAAAGCATGACTTAGCATTTTTGAGTAAAGTGGGAATGTTGAAAGGCCTTGATGCCCAGGCATGCAGTGGTCAACCAAACTTAAGACCCTAATCTTGGTGTGTAGACGTTCAACAAGCCGCTGTAAACCGGGGGAACCCACATACGTTTTACTGTGGTGTTCCATCCCAAGAAGGGTATCTCTCACTGCATGGCTAGCTGTCCCTAGGTGGGAAGTAAGCGTAGTAGGCCAGCCACGCCTGCACAGCTAGCTAGCACACCTACCGGCAACGAATGGCGGGCTACTGATACCTGGTGGCCACCTTATGACTCTTACTAAAATGCTGCATTTGAGCCGTTGCTCCAATTCTTGGGCAACTGCTATACCTACGTAGCCAAAGCTTCAAACGGCATATCTGCCGCCGCCAAGGACTCGCACGGGTTCGACAACAGAGGACCTTTTGCGCCTCTCCACATGCGAAAAGTCTTCTTCGCTTCCTGCATTCTTCTGCAGCAGTTTGTCCTTTGCCTTTTGTAGCTTCTCAGAGGATAGCTCGTAATTGGGATTCTTACGCACTCCTCTGGGGGGAGGCATGTGCTCTACCGCAGAACTGCCCTTCGTGTTAAAGTCCCAGTCAGACAGGAGTTCCTGCCGAGCCTCCTGGAAACAAGCAGTACATAGCAGAGGCAGTATTAGCGTTGAACGCATCCCTCATGTGCCAGCATCTCGGCATCTGCAGCACCTGGGCAGTGGCCGCAGTAGCAGCGGTAAGTAAAAGGAGAAAGCAAAAGCAAGAGCATGAGTCTCACATCTTGCAGGCGTCTGCAGGAAGTGATCCGGTTTATCATGTCTCCGTAGGCCTTGAGGCGCCGGAAAGGGACAGTTATATCCTTGGGGTGCTTCTCCTTCCTGAAAAGCACAGGACTACTAGATTCAAGGATGGCCGATGAGCAGACCTTACGAACCATCACAGAATGTGGGAGTGGTAACGAAGCAGAAGCAGCAATAATCCAGCTAAAGCATTCAATTTGAGCACTACAAGCAGCAGCCGAGGCAGCAATCGAAAGAGTAACCCCCTTTAGCAGCGAGAGCAGGCAAAAATGGAAATTTCGTGCCTAGATCTGCGAAGCCCTGCAAATATAGAGGGCAGTCTCCCAGTTGCTGCTTCGTGGATTCGGACTGCCTCTGCTTCCATCAAGCCTGCAAGTAAACAGAAGTAACTAAACGCAGGAATGCCAAGTTTGCCACAACACTAGCTAGGTGAGATATAGGGGCCCTTGAGAGGTAGGCTACCCAACTATACGACTGTCCAGTCACAGAAGTCAACTCTGAGGAGGCATACGTATCTCAGAAAGATGGGGCTGTCGTACATTTCAGTTTGGGCTCCTCTTCTACGTTTACCTCCTTTGAAGCTGTAAAATAGGCCATTTTCTTCGGCGTGTCTTCGGAAGGCAGCCCTATGGGGCCCTCGATTTCAAAGTGGTATGACCAAGGTAAGGTTTCTCGCTCACCCCCCTCTTCTCTTTTGCTAGCCTGCCCTCCGTTGGCATTGCTTCTGCTCTCTCCTGTCAGCTCTTTCCACCCGTAATGAATTCTCTCCCTGTGTAGGTGCGACCCCAACTCCTGGCGATTCAGCGCATCCTCAAAGTTCCAGGGATTCTCGTGGGGCTTCGGGTGTCGGTTGAAATACTTTCTGAAATCTTTTGCAAATTGTTCACGCAGGTACTCGTCACGGGAGATTACCTGAGGAAAACCCCTCCACAAGCTGCAGTGTCGTGTAGACCTACATAAGTCCAAATAGCCACAAGGGTGAACACTGGGCTCAACAGCCTGCTGCAAGCGGCCTTTGGACACCCTGGCGAAAAGGCTCCAGAAAAAAAAGGTCCTGCTTGTCTACAGGAAATCTCACCAAGCCACTCCTGAGAAGATACCTAAGCCGCTTCGAGCGTCTCCACCTTTCCCTCTCGTGAGGCCACCAGTTCGTCCGTGTCTCCAGATTCGTAGGCTCTTTAAAATCGAGGGCTCTGCTGCAGAAAAGTTGACGCTGTTGCGGAGAGAGAGGGGCAGCTCCGGGTCCCACCAAAAATTCATCCAGGCTAAGAGCATTAAAGGGCTCAAGGCCCTCGCACTGGATGCCCGGCGTAAACTCAAGGCTACCCAAGGTATAGTTGGGCAGCGGCTTGGGAGGGCGCCTTATAATGTCTGTATGTCTCTTCTCCCCGTTACACGCGATCTCCCACGCCTCTCTCTGATCTAACGAGCCTTTCTACACCACAGTGCAGCAAAAAGAATACCACACAAATCCCCCAGCTCTCATTCCCTAAGAATAATAGTTGAAGGGCACATGGATGACCCCAGGACAGGCCTATATATGTCCTTAAACAGAACCTCACCAAGCTAGGATCCCCTCCACGTCGTTCTGAAGCTTGAGCGAATTGCGGAGCTCCAGCCGGCGGGGGTGCCACGGAGTCCCAGGGGTCTTTGCTTATGGCTTTAAAGGCAGAGGGGCCGTTCTTCCTTTCCTTCCGTATATTCGAAGAAAACCGAAACGGCCTTGAAGGGACTCTGGAGTGGGTCTCCACTCCAAACAAGTGTATGTCCCTCTTATATGACGCATTTAGCAGCTTCTCGATGTGCTGCCATTCGGTAGAAGGTGTGGCTTCAGAAGGTAAAGAGCGGCATGGGGAAACGGGGACGACCTTGGGGACAACCCGAGGTGCAGCCTCCAAAGTTTCTGGCCTCATCGAATACGCTTACTTGCTCCTGCCGCAGCAGCCACAAACGCTTGCAAAAAAGGCTTGGGGTTTCCCTTTTCGTAGGAGAAAAGTCAGTGCTTGATCAGGATCTCGTTGGATGGCACTGGGCGGAGTAAGTTCTGACTTAATTTCTCATAAAGTGCAGCTTTACGCTTCTGGAAGGCCTCTTGTGATCTCAAGAGGCAGGAGCCCCTGCTCGCTGGCGCGTGACTCAAGCCCTCCGAAGAAGGCCAGACCTCTATCTTTCGCTATAGTGTACAAAAGCACTTCAGGCACATATTTCAGAGCTGAGGAGGATTATAAAAGGAACCGCCCGCGGGGGTGTAGTCCATTTCTGTACAAGATGTGGGGCTTTGAGGCAGCGAGTCTCGTGCCTGCCTTGCAGGTGCACCAAAAAGGAAGCTAGGCTTATCTAGTAGGGGAAAACTGAAATAAGTGTCAATATATGGCAAAAATTCGAAGCTTCGAACAACAGTAGACCAATATTTGCCCTTACGAAGAAAGTACAGCGAATGATTCATGGAGCGAAGCTACTGTCCATGGAACGAGGAAAAACTGCAACAATCCGCTCCTAGCTGTACGCCCAGAAGACTTTCTGTCGTTCTAACTGCCATTACGTAATAATTCTGCAAGTTCTTTTTCCTAGTATATACATTTTTAGTGCTCTTTTGCCAGCTGGAACTGGTATGGCTTCACAAGCAGGGTTCTACTGGTCATGACTTCGAAGACCATCGTAGGCCACCGGTTTGTCAAGCGCTCCATTTTCCTTGGAGGAGTGCAGCCGAGACCTTGTAAGGGTATTCTACTTTTGCTGTCGGGATTCTATCGCAAGAGTGTGTCTGTTTTGCCTATTCAGCTTTGGCCGTCTCGACTTATCAGGCCTGCTCTACTGACCCCTCCGTACCCGGTCCTTCGCCACTGTTGCGCTCCTTCACGATGTCCAACGCATCTTAGTATCAAATACGTCTGGCTATAAATGAACCAGACAACTATACACATATATGCGTTTGCGTATATGCAGCCATATTTGTACAGACCCTTGCAAAGCTCTTTCCCACACATCGGTTGGGCAGTGGGCGCCTAACTACACTCGATCGTCCGGAGCTCAGATTCAGCATGTACAAACCACAGAGTGCAGCGAACGACGCGCATGCCCTTTGTACTTTCAAAAGGGTAGTCAACGCTAGAAAGGGTAGAAAACTGGCAGCAGAGGAAACACTGTGCTCCTCTCCCACCAAGCAAGGGGCCCAAGGAAGGCGGCAACCAGGAATCTCTGTAGTCAAACTGGCAGCAATAACTGTAAACACCTGGAAAGCTTGTCCCGCTTTGCTGCACCTGGGCAGGAGGAACGCCACTAGTGCCCCCCTTTTTTGCTTACGGGCATCGACATATCCTTAGCTGAGGGCCAAGAACCTAGGGTATAGAATCCAGAAGACCCTCACGACCCGCTGGCAACTTCCAGAAGATCGAATCCATCAATGCTCACTTTTATTTTGAGCAGCTGCTCCGTGTCTTTCAGTACCTTTTCAGTGGATCGGCCACTATCGTCCAAAGCCCATGGCTGCACAAACAAACCCTAGGCTCTTGAGCATAAAGTAGTCGTTGACAGCACGTTTAGTGAAGCAAGACACTGCGAAGTGCATGGGCTTGTGGTATAGGCGTTACAATTTAGGTTCAGCATGGGGGAGAACGGACCTGCTTGAGGAGGACTACCTCCTTATGCCACTTGTTCATTTTCCCCTCCACGATTTTCTGTTTAAATGCATCTGTTAAGCACTTGGCGTTACTCCCACCTTTACTGGAAAGGCTAGAAAGGGCATACTGCTGCTCCTGCGCCACTATGGCTGGCGGAAGATCTTCAACTCTCTGACGGACAGACACAGCGCCGAACGCACAACCCTAAAGCCCCTGTTAAAGGCATGGTTTAAGCGGCGCCCCCCAAGGATTGCGTGCGGTGCACGAGACCTTGTGTCTCTTGTTTACTATCAACTAATGCGTGTTGTGGCTTATTTCCTGGGGTTTTACTGGGCTTCGCTATACGGTCTAGAACACGTGTCCAGGAGTGCGGGCTTAAGGCTAGGAGTGGGGCAACGCACAACAGCGAGTGGTTTTGCTGCAGCTATTTGCATGCACAGTTGCTTCCCAAATCGCCGTAGGTGGCCCTCAAACTCTGCTTGGTCCTCCTGTTGCTTCTCCTGCCTGGAGTAGGAGAGGTGCAGCAGCACGGCAAGTGGGGCGACATTAGCTGCAACAGGTTGATGGCAATAAAAAGCCACAATCCCTGACCCCCTGAGGGCCTCACGCATGGCGACTCGCTTCACCACTACTGTCTCCCCCACCAGGCGAGATGTATACGCCAAGTCCGCCCCAACAGTTGCAGCTGCTTCCCCTTCCGCGTCGCTCGGCACACCCGCTGGGAACGAATAGCCAGTAGGGAGAGACAAGAGCTGCTGCAGCAGCTTTTGTTGCTGTGATGTTCTTGTACCTGCACCAGGTACACCAGCAGCTGCTGCTGCCTCCTTCGCGAAGCAGGCAGACATGCATGCCGCAGCGGCTGTCCGGCTCGCCGCTGCAGTAAAAACCTCACTACGGCTGACAAAGTCGGTCCTGCAGGCCACATGAACGGCAGCGATCCGTTCGATGCTTGCTGACGTGTCTAGTGCACCTCCTTCCGGGGCAGGTGTGAGTTTGGTTTCAATTCGGCACAGGGCGATAACGCCTTCCTTTTGCGTGTCGTCACCAGGCCTGACGCTACTAGCTGCAGCGGTCGCTGCTGCTACTGCTGCTGCTGCGTCTGCTGCGCCCTGGTGCCGCAGCCACTTAACTGCCATTGGCAGATCCCCGTTGCTATGTTGCAACGCCTTGAGACAACTGCCGTAGCCGGCAGCCGTTAGCTGCCGTAGTTTCTTCACTAAAGCCACGTCCACCTTGGATGCTGCTGTAGCTGCTGCATCTTCTCCTTCCGAACTGGCCGCGGGGACGGCTGCTGCTGCCGAGGGTGATGTACGATGAAGGAACGCGCTGCCGGCGGCACCGTTGTTGGTGCTACTGGTGCAGGTGAGAGTGCTAGCGTTGGGATGCGCAGACAGCTTAAATCCATGAGCAAAAGCGGGGCAGAACAGAGGCACCAGAATGAGGAAGCACCTTATGGATGCTCTTCTACAACCGCCAAAGCTAAACTTGGCGGGTGGCCCTGGCATGCAATGATAGTTCCTCGGGTGACCCATTTGGGGCCCCCATGCAGCAGATGGACCCACAAGTCTTGGTGGTAGTCGATGGTAGATTCAGGCTTCAGAGGTCAGTGCTATGATAACAACAGCGTAATGCTAATCCAGTAAGCCCCTTGTACTGCTGCAACATCGGAAGACCCTAAAGTAGAGAGGAAAGGCACTGACTGGATCTCAAAGTTTACTTTTTCCCGCTGTTTAGATTTTATGGTCCGTACTAGCTGTGACTGGCGGAGTGGAACCCCTGCAGAGAGGCTCCTGCACGGAGGACCCAAGGAGAAGGGGGGCCCTTCGTACTGCCACAGAAACAAAATGTAAACTCTATGCGAAAGAAAACACATACGGGGGAACAAAATCTGAATACCAATGTTGTGAGGCTATTGGAATTCAAAACCGGCATTAAATTGTATACGGATCAGCATTTCAGCCCTTCGCTCCGGAGACAACCAGGATCCCGTTTACAGCGCTTGTCCCTCAAACGGACGAACCAACCGGTCTACTAGCAGAAACGCTGCAATACCTACTCTAGTTCCAGATTCCTACACGCTGAACTACGCCGTGAAAGCCTTAACAGCATATGTTTTCCTTAAGGCTTAATCGAATGAATTGGTCTCTTCCTTCTGTGCCCACACTTGGTTCTACGACTTCAACGTGAATTTCGGCTGTGGGGTTTAAGCTCAAAGACTGCAGCTATCAGCGTCCGCTACGCAAAAATAAGGGGAATTAGAAGTAGATTGAACCTATTGTGTCCCCTAGGCGCCTAATTCTCTAAGCAACGGCCCCGGGAGTTTGTGGAGGTCCTTCGAAAGCCAGCATATCCCCAGTACAATGCACAACGTGCGGTGTCAGGTAAAAAAACATTGCACGCCCCCAAAATGAAAGATTCAGAGGGCCTGAAGGAGGGAAGGCACAGTACCGGAGGCTTGAGATTCGAATTTGCAGTTGATGCTGTCGTAGGAATCCCTTGGTCTAGTTATATCGTAAAGGAGGCATGCGGTGGCTGGACACAAGGCAAAAAACCAACTGTATAGCAGCGTCGATCTCATGGGGCTCGCTGTGGCCTTTTCTACGTCTGCAACATTGTTAAGTTGATCGCTATAAAACATTCCCAGGGCCTTGAGTGTATGCAACGGTTTACAGTTTGTCTTATGCCAGATAATCCATACCTTCCTGATAATGCATACACAAGCGTACGTCTTTGTGATTTAAAATTACCTGGAAAGAAATTCTAAAATTCTCTGGGCCACGGACTCGACAGCAACTGCATCGTCGGCGCTGTAGACGACAAAAGCAGAAACGGATCTGCCTGCGCTTTGAATACTCCAGTCCAATCAGGCTTTTCAGCTTCTATGTTAAGCCGGGTATATAAAATAGCAGAGCAACGACAATTTAGTGACGCTCTATGCTGGCTAGCAACGTGCTGCCCGAGTACCTCATACACTTGGGACAAGGAAAATGCTGGCTAAAGTCTATCACTCACCAAATAGTTGTAAATTTGTCAGGGAAGGCTTGTTGAACGAAGGGGATCCACCGCTTTATCTGTGCTAGACTGAAAGCAATCATTCCCAAATGTGAAGAAGCTTTTTACCTCATTCACCTATGTGTGCGTCTTCACATCAATACGGGAATTGAGGCTTTATTCCTGATATTGCTGCACAAGATACACTATGGGTTGAGGCCAGTTCTACAAATGGTACCGGTGAATCTAGAGTGCTTACTCACCGCATTTCAACTAGCCGCGCTGCGTCCTTCCTAGCCTCGTTTGCTCCACCGCAGGAATCTACGTTAGCCGTGTATGATGACTGCAGGCACACCACTGAAAGCCTAGCCTTCAGTGCATCGATGAACTCAGCTAGCCGCCTACATGGCTTCTCACCCAGCTAGGCATGTAGCTAAGTGTACACTGCTTCGGACATTCCTTGCGTCACCCGCTCGTTTATCTGTCGGCTTTTGCTCATCTCCACTCGCTTCACTAGCGTTCCCTGGGGGGAATCATACCCCGACAACAGCAAAAAACAGAGGCGAAGATAATGCCTGCGTTTTTGTCACTGAGTCTTCACCTTCCTCATCGTCCCACACCAGTAGCTGTTGCTGCACTGGCATTTTAGCATTTGGTATCAACTGCACTTCTGTAGTCCTAGTGCTGCTGCCTCACGTTACTAAATGAAATTCTTTAGATGTGGTGCTTAAGGAAAAAGTGAAGCCGCTTCTGCTGCTCTGGGACGGTTCACCTCAGGGACCTCTAGGAAAACAATGCCATCCGGTGCTATGCGATGCTGCCTCAGCAAGTCCACCTGCTGCGCTGTCTCAGGGAAGCCCTCCAGCACCCAGCCACGCCGTGCGCAGTCTGCAGCCTCTAATCTGTCAGCCACTAGTTGGCCCAACATTGGCTCGAAAGCTGTAGCGGGAACACCAAGCAACGCGAATAAGGAACTGAGTACCCTGGACAATAGATGCGCTGACTCTCGCAACGCACGTTAAATCAGACCACTCAAATTCCAGACACTTGCTTTTTGTGTGGTCGTTGCAATACTCCATACATAGCACTTTAGATTCAATGTGATTATTTTGTATACTTTAAAAGCCTACAAGACTCTAGTCCGGCCTCGAGTTCCATTAGAGCCTGTCTGCATGCCTCATCCTCATGGGCCTGCAAAAACGCTTGCTGCGGAGCTCATCCTCCTTAAACCACTCTCTGCTGTTGCTCTTGTATTGGATCTAGCTATGCAGACATTTCACATCCCCTTGCCCAGCGCCGGGTGTCTAAGCATAGCGTGGTAGCTCCTTTCAAAAGAAAAGCTCGAGACTGGGGCATGCTTTAGAAGTTTCCCCGTACGTCTTTCCAGATTAGACTGAAATTGGTGCAAGAAAACATGAGGAAAGATTTACTCGCTGCAGCAGCAATTTGCGGACGTCTACATGCACCACTCCAAAACGGTTGGAAATGAGGCGGCTCTGCGTGGACTTGCCGCTTCCAGAGCATCCAAGGATCTGCAACACACGAAACTTTAAAGAATATACATAATATCCAGTGCGTTTTACTACAGGGCGAAGTAAAGATCGATTTCGTTGCCTGCTCAGCCGGCACATAGAGCTCTAATGTGGACAAGCTCGAATGCCCACTGAGAGAAGCAGAATTAGAGACTTCCGGTAATATCCAACACTAGAGCTCGTTTCATTAGCACGCCTAGCCAATTAAATGCATCTGTGCACAGAGTAGCTGTGAGCATCCAAAATCAGATACACAAAGCAACGAGAGTCAATAGCAGCTGAAGCACAATGCTGCAGACAGGAAAGGAAACTCTTCAGATTGTTCCTAATACAGCGGCATACGGCAAGATGGGGAAGACAGTAGGAGACATCAGGGGCCACATACACAGAGCTTTGGGGGCAGCCGTCGAATCCAAGAGTCCCCTTCAATGCCGCATCGCGCCTGATGAAGCACACAGAATATTTCTGTGTCTACGAAAACCACTTACAGCCAGATATTAACCGCCTTCCTGCCCCAGTAGAGTAGCTCATGTGGAGCTTCACACCACACAGAACAACGCAACGTCTTTTTGGGGCCTATCTAAGAAACGGTAGCAAAGTCATCGCCTCTAACTTGCAAGCATAGACCACAACGCTATGCTTCGCAGACCATCCTCCTGAAACTTTGAAGCCCGAAAAATATGGATTCACCTTGAGTATGTCGAGCACCAACTCTTGACTGCTGTCGGCGGGGACAGTCTCTGCAAGAGGCCCTAAAACTTCTAGTACTCGCTCTGCATGGCTGAGACGTCAACATGGCATGCCTTTGAGACCTTAGTGTCTGGTGTGTTGCTTTATTTGAAGGTTTACGATAAGATGGTGGGGACTTACGCATATGCGCTCTGCAGACGCTCATCTGCCTCTCTTGTCAACTGAAGCCGCGCTCGCCTCTCTGATTCTGGAGTAGTGCTAATAAAAAATTGTGGCCCTTCCATGCTTCGGGCTGACTCTGTGCGTGCTGCTGCTGCGGCGGCAGCGGCAGCACGCACAGCAGCTTTGGCTCTCTGCTCTCCAGGTAGCAATAAGCAGCACCGTTCGGGGAACAGTCGTAGCTGCAACAGTGCTACAGCTTGTGTGCGGGTCCGCGGAAAGCCATCCAGAATCCAGCTGCTGTGGGCTGCGTGCTCCAGTTGCTGTTGCTCTAGTCGCTTCGTAATTAGGTCAATCACTAGCTCATCTCGCGCTGTCAAAATGTGAAGCAGCACTACAGTTTCATGCCTCTAGTAATCTGGAAGCCCCTCTATGTATTTATCTTAAAAGTACTGGACCTTGGCATAATTTGGACAAATACAGCTATATTTGCACTGTTTTGACTAAGGGGAAAAGTTAGAATTTGCATAACCATAATAGTGACTATTTGTTACCTAGCTTTACCCCTACTCCCGGACAGCACAGATAAATTATGGCCAAGCACTCTTAAGATAGATAAATAGTCATACATTACTGCGACGATGCAATTCTGCTTTTGTTTTTGAAACTACCACCGGCTCCTTTCGCTTGATTGTTGGTTGCCTTACCGAGGGTCTTAGAAGTAAGTGCCAGCGCAGCTTCTCCATTGGGGAACTTTTCTGCGTGCAACCTCAAGAGGTCTCCCGCAGAGACAAGGGGTAAGTCGCACATGTCCGCCAACCGTCGAGATAACTCCCGCCGCCCGCTGCCCGGCAGGCCCAGCATTACCAGCCGAAAAGGCGCCTCTTCTTTTTGGTGCGGCTGTTGCTGCTGTGCCTCCTGGCTTTCGAGCTGCTGCTGCTGCTTCAGGTGATCGATGAGGCACTGTAGAGGATCGTCTGGCTGCTGTATCACCAGCAGCCGTGCAAGGGACCGCATAAGATCTCTAATGCCGTGCCTTTCTGCATAGTCCTCGCATTTTTTGGTGAAAGCCGTTTGTGTCTCCATCTCCTCTGACTACGCACCACGCACGGCAGAGTCCCTTGATTAGCTCTCACTGCCTCCTGCTATCTAAACTTTCAGTGGTGCTTGTTCTCTCCCTGGCTCTCTCTCTCCACCCCAAAATATTCATTGCTTGGATTATTGCCCCCCTTTAATGGGACTATGTGAAGAAAGCCCTGGAAGCCCTGCTATGTGAGCTAACAAGTCAGGACGGCAAGTAACGACTCAGCCGAGGAAATTACAGCCTGCATACTAGAATTCGTTCCAGACTGGTCTCAGATACAAAAGGCTAAAGGCCAACAATTGTTCTTTTTCCTCTGTTGAGGCTGCGGCAGCACCCGCTCCACCAGGGGGCTTGCGTGGTCTCCTTCCGCTCCAGGGCGTTAGGGCCCTGCTTCCTCCACCGGGACCTGTATGAATTTCTTACTATTTAATTGCAATTAATTCGTCCTACTGAAGCTTGATATATGAACGGCGTTCTAGGTGCGTTTGTTCTTTCCTTTTGTCGACGAATTGGTCGTGCCCAATTCAGTCTCCCTCGAGGTCACCTTAGAGTGACCTTCGAAGAGAGCGCCTTTTTTCAGCCTTACACTATTTTTATCCTTCTGATTAAGTACCTTCGCTGTGTCATTTAAATGAATTCAGTAAGAACTACGTCTACCTTTACTCCTTGAGTTTGTGTCTGGCGCTGCCTATTTGTGGAAGTGAGTGGCTACAAACAAGAGCCAAACGCCTGGATCTCCTCACCGCTAGGGACTTAGGCCTGCATTAAAAGACAGAAAACCATTTCAAAAGGGAAAGCAAGGCATGAACAAAGACTTATACGGCGAGCAAGACTGCCCATTTTCTACTTCGGCTACGCAGTCCACTGCCCGACTCTATTCGCCGTTCTCCCCGGTAAATTTTGACAATCCAGCCCCTGTTTGTAAGTAGCACAGTAGCTTCACGGCTAGAACCTTCACTAGTCCTTTCAGTTAAAATTTTTCAGGCCACGCCACGGGCGGTAACCCTATCTCGTATACCACGGAGTCAGCAAAGAAATGCATACACTGCATAGAGAGATTAGTGGGTTCTTAACAAGAAGTGCTAAGTGCAGTGTTTTGGGCGCAGCACAATTAAAGCTGATCAAAATATCTTCAATGAATGCACTGTGCTCTACGGCCTCTGCAGTTTCTTGTGCTGCATGTTGTTCATTCTTCCAGAGGTGCACTTATTTCGCTCTGTTTTGCTTTCAGTTTTTGATATTCATGCTGCCTTGTCAGCGTCAAACATTAGGGCTTAGTATCAATGGCAGCCTCATCCCAGGAGGAGTCGGAGGGCAACAATGGCCTTTCGTTTCGAAGCGACAATTTACAGCAACTCCTCCTGTTGCAGACCCTCGGCTTGGAGAGTCCCTCAGATGATGCCAGACTGCTGGTTGGCAAGCTTTCTACCTAGCTACACAAAAAAATAAAATGTATTGTCACTATGTAGGGATATTTCGAAACCACATGCACTTTGACAGATGTAGGTAACAATCTCTATCCATGAATAAACCTGTAAAGGCACACCCAAATAAGGCCTACGACCATGTTAAGCAGAGCATGTATTTCCTTTCTTCTGCTTGACTAGCGGTGGCCGTGGCGTTGCATCTGTGTATCTCTATCGCTTATGATTTCCTGGGTTACCTTTTCTCTTCCCGCAACGAGAGCATCACGTCTTGCTTCCTCATATCCCTCGGTGTTCAATGCTGCCTACAGTTGAATTGCCTTAACCACTATTTCTATTCCTCAAGCCATCATGTTGCTCTCACTTGTGTGACCAGTGCTGCTTTGCTTTTTGGGTCCGAGTTTTATTCTGCTGTTACTGTAAATGGAATCCTTACTGCCACCCAGGATTTGCAACGCCAGCTCGACGACGTTTCTGCCGAACTGGATCTCAAGAAAAAGTCCTACGCCCAAGTGCGCTCAAGGAGGAAAACTGGGGCATTGCAACCCTGATGCTGAAATACTTCATTCTCACACCCTCCTCCTTTGCTTCTTACAGCTATTTCTGAAACACTGTTGTAGGTCGAAGAGTGTGATTTCTTTCTCTGTACTTGCTGCGCTTCTTTTTGGGTGGATCATTAAAAGGAAGCACCGTGCAGGGATAAGAGGCACTTAGGCCCATCATCCTACGCTACACATATCCTTCAGGCTGTACTCGAACATGCCTTTGCCATGCCGCTTTTTGAGCATGCAGTTGGCCTTTGCACTAATTATCGTGTACTACCGTAGAGGCAGATGCACACATTGAGAGCAAATTGCGGCCGTAGGTCCCATTTCTTTACTTATCAAAGAGTTGCACTAGCTGTGTTCCAGCGATTTATGCTCTAATCATCCCGCACTTATACTTGGGGCTTTTCTTCTCAGGTGGCTGAGAAAGCGCGGCAGCGAGATGCCGAGCTGCAAAAGCGGCAGGCACAGCTCAAGGCACAGCTACAAAGGTTTCAAAAATTCATATACACCAACGAAGAAAAGACCACGCGGGCCAACCGCAGGGCATCAAACGAGAGAGAGACTAGCCAAATCAAGGAAAAAGAAATAGCCACATTGAAGAGACAATTATCTGTAGATGAAATTGCCTGCGCCGCGATGGAATCACAAGCTCAAGATCGTATGTCCTTTTACGGGGTAGATACGACACCAGCTGGGCATTATGGGTACTACGCCAAAGAAATCAAAGTCTACGAATCATGGCGTCGGGTGGAAAACTTGCAAAAGCAAATTCATTTTAATGTCCTGTGGTTAGAACGCGTGGCTTCAGAAGTGCAGCCTGTGTGCTAAGATAAACGGCGTAGTGTATTTCGAGAACACTACTAACTTTCGAATAGTGCTAAGCAGCAGCTCATGCTGCACTAATGATATCATCCAGTGTCACCTACTACCCCCGGTTTGAAGAAAAGCCAAGAGTTGTTGGTTTTTGCGCTGTTTAGTGAGAGTATTATGTGTATTTTTGCCTGCTTGAGAAATCATGTTTCGCTTTGCATCTGTGTTCGTTCATTTCACCTGCTTGGTGCTTGCTCATATGCTGGCGTGTTCAGTAAAGAAATTTCACGATTACCTGAACACCGTATCTAAAGCGAGTTCAGAGTTTCTGTCCGTCAGAGATATCATTGCGCGGTTTGAAGTCCTCTCCTCAGTGCATTCCAACCTCCTACAAAGCAATGAAAAGACCATCAGCCAGATGGATATCCTCCGGCAACAACTACAAGATTATAAATGCACGCAAGCTGCTAAGATCCTTGTTCGTCTATCTTGAATGTGTTCGTTTTTGTCATAGCAGAGGATGCAGCGCACTTACTGACAGCTAGGCCTGCATTAGTGGTGCCTTCAAGGCACGCTGTGCTCTTTCCTTCGAAGCCAACAATAAAAGCCAGTGCAGCGGAGCCAACTCTGTGTAGAGCTAGACCGGGAAGGATCACTGTTTTCTAAACCTGGATGTCTGTTGGAACTGTCTCAGGAAGCCAGTAACAAAGTTGCTGTGTATCAGCGTGAACTTGAGGCGCTTGAGAAAGAGATGGCTGCACTCTCTGCAAAGGCTGAGGAAGCAAGCAGGGACTCCTTTAACACATCTCTTCAGCTTGAGAAAGTCCTCCTCGCTGTCGAAAACATGTTCGCCACCTGTACTACCGCTAGGCCAAGCCTTCAACACGGGCGTACTGCTTGGGAAAAGCAACGGTCAGGTTACAATGGGCACAGCCAAAAGGCGATTCTCATTCGTACAGGGACATGCTTAAATGACTACTTGTATAGCTAGCGATTATTATTGACGGACCTGCTTACTTTGGCATTGGAGGCCGCGAAAATGAAACTACTGCTAGCACTCAAGAACCCCTTTTACCCACCTGTTTGCATAAATGGTTCACCCAGTTCACTCCAGCCATGAATACACCATCTGTAATCACAAGCATGAAGAGTGCAGCGAAACGAGTACACCACTCGCAAAAAGTATACCGGTAGAGATAAAATTAAAAAAAGCCTAGTGGTGGCCTTAATCTGTTGTTCTTGGATTGGTTCGACCAGTAGAGACATCGCGGCTGAGACAGGGAGCCACGAGGCGAAGGAACATATGGGGAGCAAGCGTCACAAGCTGAAGCAGGAAAAGACCGAGATCGAAACAACAGAAAAGTTGCAGCTGCAGCGGCGCTGCCGTTACTCACTGGAGCTCCTAGCTGCCATTCGTTCATTCATTACGGACTTCAGAGAAATCGAAGAGCAGCTAAACAGAGGAGAAAAGAAGAAGCAGAAGTCAAACAGAACGGTCAATATGGCTGTTGACAAGTCGGATGAGGGTACGGATACTTATCTTGCATCGCAGGCCTCATAAAGCTGAAACTCACTCAAGGGATGAAGGGAGCCGTATCCGTTCCTCCCTTTGCAGAGGTAACCATGCAATATAAACAGTTTCCCTTTCTTCTAGCCCACCTCATAGCTTGCCCACCTGATGGTTTCACAGCTGCCAGGTTCTGCATATCTTGTGTTACTTGATTTGTTCTTACTCATGAAGATGAAGTGGAGTTTGTGGCTACGCGACTGCTGGCGAGCCTCCGTGCGGAGACCACCAGCGCCAATGCTGATATCACCCGAAAGACCGCTTCCAGGAAGTTCACAGAGGAGAATAGTGGAACCCAACAATCCATGTACAATAATGGAGGAAAGGAACAAAGTCAACAGTAACAAAAGCAACACCTAAAAGCAGGTACCAACGCCAAGAAGAGTAGAATCATCGATTTAAACAACAAAATCCAAGCTGATTCCGGGTTTCAGGCTGTGCGGCTCGTCCCTGCATTATTCATAAGGTGATGCTTAACGCCTTTGCTCTACTTAAATCTTAAGGCCACTACTTTTCCCCTCAAGCTTGTCTCGTTCAACTGCCTTTCCCCCGTACAGGGTTTTGCGCTAGAGGAAGAAAGTGCAACCGGGAAGCAAGTAGCTGCAGCACCTTTGCATCCCGCATTTTCCTGTACACGCACATACGTAGCTTGGCGCAACGGCCACAGCACATATTGCTGCAACATGCATTAACCCCACCTTTGCAACAAACAGGACGGAAGAGACCATCAATAACCCTAAATCGTATCTTATTTAAAATTTGTTACGCACAATTACTGTATCAAAACCGCGTGATCGTGGTTTGGCCCTCTATACAAACACTCTCTCTCGGTACAAATCCTATCACCGCCCTTGGTTGGCCGACTCGGCAAATCGAGAACAGTTCAACGAACCTGAAGAAGGCAAAGATGGTTTTCACAAGAAGCACGCACGAGGACTTGTTCTACAGCTCCTTTCGGCTAACTACAACTGCCTGCTGTCTATAATTCTGCCCATACCGGCAAGCACACATGCCATACATAAAAATTTCTGACGCAACGGTGTGCATCAAGACATTTACAATGACGTCCTGCTGCACTTATTGCTAACTAGTGCTGCCGTGTAGGCTCCTGTGTTACTGCACTTGTCCTGCTCCACTGCTACGTAGCCCTTATCTTGGCACTTTTGTCCCATTGAACTTCACTTCCCCCCATGGAAAGCTCTTTGCTTCATGAGAAGCAATGAGACCTTGTAACTCTTCTGCTCACTGTGCCTCAGCCTGTTTCTATGTGCCTATGCGTGCTTCTTACTTGCTAAAGCCATTGTGGCTCTCTATTTCCGTGCAAAGTGCGCAGTGTATCACTCGATAAGGTATCCCAAGAGTTTGAAAGAACAAGAAAAAATGGAGTGGGGGAGAAGGGAAGAAACGGGAAACGAAAAACGAGCGTTTTTTAGCATCCCCTAGAGCTGCACTCCGTACAGCTGCCGAATCATTTCAGGAGACATTTTGACCAGTTGTTTCCTTGCCTGCTTATTCCACTTTCTAATTTTTGTTGTATCCTTGATGACTTGTACTCTGGCGCTCTTCATTTCGTTTTCCTTCTTCTGCTGCCTCCTGGCCTCGCGCTGCTTGCGCCTCTGGATTCTGATCCTTTCCTTAACAGAGCGCGCTTGGCGCTCCAGCTCCCTCGCCTCCCTCTGCTTCTCCTTCATCTGCTGCTCCTGTGCCCATTTTTTTTTTGCTGCTGCTGCTGTAGAGGGATCTCCATCTCCTCTGCAACCTCCGGCAGCCGCAGTTCCCTTACAAAGCCGACCGAAGCTGCGCCCCTGACCCTTCGGTCTCCATGTTTGCCTTCCCTGCAATCTAGGGATGGTGGCGCTGGTTGGAGATGCAACTCTCTGCCTGGGGGACCCTTCTGCCTCCATCGTTTCGGACGCCGCCTGCGTCTCCGTTGTTGTGATGTTGACAGAAGCAAATGACTCCGCTCCTTGAAGTGAGGCTTCCCCTAGTCCTCTTCCTGCTGCTAGTCCCGATAATCGTGTCGACCAATCTGCTTGAGGAGGCTCGGCGTCGGGCTCCCCAAATTTGGGGAGTAAGGAAGCTCCCGGTCCTTCCACCATAATAGTGTTTCCTGCTGCACTTGTCGATACAAAATCTCCAAATGCATATACAGCTATGTAATCTAGCCCAGAAAATCACGTGCCAATGGGTGAAGAGCTTGCGCTCATTCTAGTACCCCCCCTTTGAGATTTCGTCCCAGGTTGGCATCGATTGGCACCACAACACAGCGTTTTACAGCAGCCTCCTCAGCTAAGCCCTAAGTTCCACTGCCTTGCATTTAATACTAATTAGTGCCCATTTACTTTTAGGTAAAAAGGAAGCAAAGCAGAAGTTACAGCCTAGTCATGCACTGGCTGCAGAAGCCCACCCCGCAGGGCTGGGCCCCAATATTAATTTTTTTGAGGAGCAGTAGTAAACTAATAGCAGCAAAGAGAAAGAAAAGCCATACTTTTGATATTAATGTCGCAGCTACCTGTTCGGTTTCTTCATGCTTCATGAAGAGTCGGATTTAGCGGGGTGCTTCTGCAGCAAGTTCATTCGGTTGCCTGGACCACAGGGACGAGCTTTGCATCGAGTGCAAGTCCAAGCACAAATCCTCATACCTTGAAATCTCAAATATTCCCTCGACTATCTGAAATCCCTGTAACTCAGCTGTCCTACACCAAAATGGAAGCACCTGTTACGGCTGAGCCGCCCGAGACGGCTGATGGGCCAACATCAGAACGCGTGAGAGTTATAATTCGGTAAGGACAGTTTTTGCGTTTTTTGATAGAGTACTGCGGTGATGTGTCTTCCCTTCCCACAACAGTATTGGAGACTACTTTTTAGTCGCTTGCTGAGCATAGGGGCAGAACGATCTCGAGATATTCGGCATTTACCGGTACCGTTGAAACTTTAATTAGGTAGTCAGATAATGCCACACTTACGTTAGCTATTTGCTTACTGATAGTTTGTGCCTTCCCTAGTAAATGCATGGTTACTACATCACTGCGGCGCCCAAGTTCACGGTATTGGAACTTGGAAACGATTGAAATAACAGGGGACGCTACCGAAGAATTCAGCATACTTCTGTCACACTAAGACACATTCAAACAAGACTATGTATGCTAGTTTATTGGATTGGGCTTTCTCAACCGAAAATCATTGAGGTCATCAAAACTCCCCGAAAATACACTTTGGCGGACAAGCTGAAAGCTGCTTCAATGCTAAATACAGCACAAAATGCATGCAAAGAGAAGGGGTAGTGAAGGACTGTCACAGTGACCTTAACAAGATCTGGATGACTTTTTCGCTCGCAGCTGCCGTCCACTTTCTGAGTCGGAAACTGCCGAAGGTTGCCAATGTGTCGTGATGGTGAATAGCAAAAACGCGTCTGTCTGCCTCCAGAAACCGAAAGGCCCCACGAAGCACTTCACCTTTGACGCTGTATACGATGCATCGTAGGCTACTCCGCATTCGAGTTCTAACTGCACTTGCCGGAGTTGTTACACTTACTTGCCAGATGGGGGCAAAGAGTTTCCCGGCACGCATCTTCCCCACTCATCGTGATAATTCTGCTAATGGAGAGTAATAGCTTCTCGCTGCTGAAATATGGTCAAACGCGTTGCCACATTGACCCATAATGACACCTTTCAAAGCAAATTTTATGGCTCACAAACTCTGTTTCACAGCCTTACACTGCTTGTTGAATCAGGGTCTCGCAGGACGATGTTTACGACGATGCAGCATTTGGAATAGTCGAAAGCGTAACAGAAGGATACAACGGTCAGAAATGGTGGATCACCGAGCACTTATCACCGCTGCACGCTTTTGTGCCCCAGGTCCTATAATTGACCTGGTTTCTTGATGCCTGATTACATTAGTGCGTGCCTTTGAGGTCCTAATAGCTACGACCCATTTATAGCTTTGTAGGATGGCATATATCTTGCTTCGTGGTACGCTAGTGACTGCATGGTGAGCCTGACAAAGCAAAGTATCAATCCAGCACAGATATCAGTAGCAACATTCACAGGGCAAGCACCCTCTGACACACCGGAGAAAACCAAATCGACTAACAGAACTATCTGGCGTAATTTACATGGATGCGTGCTTTCCTTCCTAGGTACTGTTTTTGCTTACGGACAGACAGGCACCGGGAAAACATTCACAATGATTGGGGGAGACCGAGAGTTGCAAGGAATCATTCCTCGCGCCTTCGAGCACATTTTCAGCACTATTGACTGTGCTTCTGACAAGGAAAGAGCACTTTTCTCTCCCTTTCTTCCTTCATGCGTGATCACTGTGGCACCTCCATTGTAGTTGCAAGGTGCAGTTCTCACCACGCCGCTGCTGGTCAAGCAAACTAATTTTTCGGCATTCATATCTCGATGCTCTCTGGTCCAGACATTTTTGGTGCGAGCCTCGTTTTTGGAGCTTTACAACGAAGAGGTGACAAGCCACGCTACCACCTAGTTTGTCATCTAGAGAGAACATGAGTATAAGACTGAACTTGTGGAAGGAAGAGGGGTCAGGCGTATGCAGATAGAGTAGAGCAAGCCTTTCAAGGTATGCAACCAGCACACAACCGACCATTCGTCTGAATGCAGGCGAGAGACTTGCTCTCTAAAACGCCCACGGCAAAGCTGATCCTCAGGGACAGCCCAGACTGCGGCGTATTCGCAGAGGGCCTAACCACCTTTACTGTGAAATCAGCCGAAGAACTGACAAAACTTCTGGTGAGAAAACGTCCTGTTTTGACTTTTGTAAATGTGCTGGTCGAATAACTGGGAGCATGCTGGTATAGCGATACAAGGATGTGCTTCAAACTGGGTCCAACGAGGCAATAATCCACGGGATGACTGAACTTTGTTAGTCAGCGTTTGATACTAGCCCTCGACTGCTTCGCCTGCCCTCCCTCCAACTTGTGATACGTTTTCTTTGATCAATAGTTTAGTTGCTTTTGTGTAGTGTGTGTTGGCAGAACCTCATAACGCTACAGGTTGAACTCATGTGTGCCCATAATGCCAGTGCGAAGGCCTGGTTGCCCCCGTTTCAGGTGCATGCATCAATATCATGTATTGCACTTACGTTTTTCATATGAAACTCATAGGCGACGGGGCAGCAAAACCGGAAAGTCGGGGCCACGCAAATGAACGCCGCTTCGAGCAGGTGAGCCCATCCAAGTCACACCTTCCGTCGACACATGTTTTTGCTGTAGCAGTATCCTCGCAATACCATGCAGTAAAGGACCCGTACTCATTAATTCACTGCTGTATACCCTCCCCTGCACAGGGCCGTAGTTGCCGGGTCCTGCATACTCCAAAACAAGCTGCTCCGCCTTCTAGTTGAAGAATTTTAGGACTTCTTGGGCTGTTGACACATTTTCCAACTATCAACAGGTCACACTCCATCTTCATTATGGAAGTTGAGAGCGCAGACAAAGATGGGCGGGTGCGCATGGGCAAGTTGAACCTTGTGGACTTAGCGGGCTCAGAGAGGTACAAATGACCGTTACATGGCTTCATGTACTCAGATATAATCAAACATCAGTGTCTTATACCAGGATTGTAGGCCTCGGGTGGCAAACCAAGGGCAGCAGACTATTTGAATGCTTGTTCTACAGGCAAGCAAAAGCGGGCTCTACTGGGGAACGGTTCCGTGAAGCCAGAAAGATAAATCTGTCACTAAGCGCCCTCGGAAATGTCATTTCTGCCTTGGCAGAAAATTCCCCGTTTATACCTTACCGAGATTCAAAGCTTACGCGTATTCTGCAGGTGTAGCAACTTTATTCTAGACCCTACACTCTAAACTCCAAGCGCATCAACGTCCCAATTTTCACGCCAGTGTCTCTGTTCTCATTAATTAATGGTCCTGGTTCATTGGCTGCAAAGTGCATTAGGGGTATCAATAGGCAAACCGAATGTTCTGAAAAGTCACTGACTGTGATGACAGCTTGAAGTTTGCTGGGGTTCAGTATTTCACAGTTGTGAGACTGTTTGCCCATATCACACATAGACCACTAAAATTGCTTTTTCTGTTTGCCAGTTCTCGTTGCTTCACTGTCTCATCTTTGATTATATGATTATGTTGAATGACCCAGGCTTCTCTCGGGGGAAATACTAGGACCACTATGGTTGCAAACGTCGGCCCCGCTTGCACACACTATGACGAGACGCTCAGTACTCTTCGCTACGCCCAGCGAACAAAGCACATCAAGAATGCACCACACGTCAACGAGAACCCAAAACAGGCAATGATTCTGGCTTTTAAAGAGGAAATAGCATGGCTGAAGCAGCAGCTACATGCAGCGGAGCGTGCGTGGATCTGCTAATAGTCCAATTTACAGAAAACGTTTAAAATAATACGGTATCAATTTGTATCGCTCATCGTTTGCAGAGTTAGAGAAAACGGCTACACAATTAAGGTCGCTTTGACTTGCTTTGCCCTAATTAAAAACTGTTCACGATTTCTCCCAATCACCCAGACTGCTTGACTTTCGCATCACAAGAGATGTGTCTCCGTGTTGTGCATCTGTGGGTTGTGTTGACAGAAGCCCGGCTTCTAGCAGTGAAAAATTCACACGAAAAGCCTACGGAAATCGTCGTTGAAAAGCCCATAATAATTGAAAAGGAAGTGATAAAGGAAAAGCCAATGATGGTCGAAAAGGTCGTAGAAAAAATAAAAATTGTTGATGTCTCGAAAGAGGAAAAGCGAAGACTTGAAGAAGAAAACTTGCAACAGCAGCAGCAACTCCGCGCATCATTTGAGGCAGAGCGAAACGTGCATTTCCGCAAGCGTAGTTTTTGTAGCATAATGCGGCAAATAACTTGGCAGTCAGGTTACCAAGAGCGAACAGCAGCTCACAGAAAAGATGCAGGGACTGTCTTATTTGATGTTTTCTGCCTCCTGCAATTTGGGGACACATACTTAGTGTACGCCTTCCGCAGGCAATAGAGCTGGCTCGAAGAAAGGCTGAAGAGGATTTGAAGGCCCAAGAAATGGAGACTGCTTTGTATAAACAGGTGCAGCTCACGTATAGCTGGGGCCCCCTGCACACCTAGACAAAATGATGAAAACGGTGACACATCAAATAACCGATCAATATATTATCTTAAGGACTGCCTCAGTAAAGCTTTAGAGAAGTAACAGGGTTGCGGGTAGGGGTGTCTGCAAAGTAAATTGTTCATCCACAGCATGCAGAGGGAAGACCATTTACTTACACTGCGCTACGCAGCGCCAAGCCGAGCTGACGGCCAGATTAACGGAAATGGAGGCACAGCTTCTTCGTGGCAACACGGAAATATCCCGAGCTAAACAGCAGCAACGGGAGCTAAAGAAAACTCAACTACGGTTGGAGGAACAAAAGAAAATGGGTATGACTATCCTGCGTATTAATGCCTTCATTGTTTTTAAAGTTTACAGCTCAAGGGAGCGATGCAGCTCTTGAAAAGGCAGAAGTTGCACGAGGTTCAAAAGTATAGATATTGGACTATATTGGAGTCTGGACTGACTTTTGGATGCAGAGGAGCAGCTGCGAAGAGAAAGGGACCAAGGGCAAGAGGCCACGTTGCTGCTTGAAAGCCTCGTAACCTCTAAGGACAAAGAGCTTCACAATTTGTCCAGCAAAGTGCAGCAGCTCTGCTGGCGATATAAGGAGGCTGTAGATGATATCGAGGACCTGCAGAAGGAGTTTCAAGCGGAGCGCGAGTCCCTGCTGCACGACATCCGCTCGACGCAACTCGAAATCAGGCTTCAGCAATCCATCATAGATAGATTTATACCTCCTGAGGAAGTAAAAGTGGGTCTTAAAACTAATTACCGGCAAATCGTCTAGTATTTGATAGCGTTGTACGGCGTTCTCTTGCTGACAACACCCTGGAATATATTTTTGCATGCCCTCAGAGAATCCGCTCACTTGCTTCATGGGATGAGGCTCAGGGTGAATGGGTTATCCCTCACTCCGATTTGGCAGGCAAGGGAATGTAGGTAGCGCAGTCATTCAAAGTCACATACACCACACGCAGTCTTCCTCTGGACAGTGCTTCTAAATCCAGGCTGCTTGTGAAGCGGCACATTTTGTGCAGCACTTCCTCAGCATGTTACATGGGGCGAAGCACAAGTATGTGCCACACTAGTGATTTTAGTGGAATTGTGTGAAATCACTTAGTAGGCTTTTTATCATTGAAGGAGGCAAATGAAAAGGATGCATCCTCCAAATTCGTAGCTCGGGAATATGAAGATCGTGTTTTGCCTATAAACTGCTCAATCAGGATGATACAGAGAGCCGCCTCCTTAGTGATGTCGAACAGACGGCGCCCTACAAGGGAAAGCGGCAACAATACGCACGGAGCCTCCATGCGGTAGGTATACCCATCTACCACCTGGAAAGGCTTTGATCAGACGGGCCATAGCTCAGCTACACGCATGATCTGGTACATTTCCATGGAGAGGCATAAGTACCGTCGATCGGGTCCAACAAAGGTGCTGTGATATTTTCGATTTGACAGAAATTAAACAATTTGCTGTCTAGAGGCACATTTCGTCGTGCTGATTCGCCCATTCACATAACACCGACGCAAATTTGCATTGCGCTGTATGATCAGAATGCGAGCCGATCCCATCATAGAAGCCTCATTTTCCTTTGGGGGAGAATCGTTCTCGGCAGCCGAAAGTTGCTCTTCAAGTGCCCGGTAAGGCACACTGACCGCTCCCCAGATGGATCGATTCTTCGGAAAACAAATGGGCCCTATGATGATTTGAAGCAATGTATTAATAAATTGTAAATTGTCGCTTTTTGGCAGAACTTTACGTGGTTTTTGCCTCTGGTGTAGCATGTCCTAGTCAGCTTGTACAGCACGCTTTCATATATTTTTGACTTCAGTGCAGGCGAAGTGCTGGACAATGCCTTGACGTACGTTGAAAAACACTACTTTCAGGAATATCCTGGCTGCACTCACAGCTCAGCTGCTGAGGTACGCACAGACCCTCGTGAAATTCTTAGATTCTCTAAGAGACTCCTCGTACCTCAATCGCTATGGCAAGAGCCTTGCGTGGGGGGAACCATCTGGCATATGCAGGTCATGGGCCAGCGTGCGAGCAACAAGCTTCAACCCAATCGTCTTGGGTTCAACTGCCTACCGAATGTTCTAGGTATCCGTCCTACCCTGGCGCACATGCTGTGCCAGCCCGTCAGAGAAAGGTGTTGAACACAGAAGCAAGAAGTGCTTCATTGTCTTGCCTAGAATGCAACACAAGTCTGCATTCTCTGTGGTGGCCGGTGAATTCTAAACTGGCTGTCAGAATTATTGGACACTGCACATTTGGGCTGGCCATGTGAGCTGAGCCGCTTATATCCGCTTCTTGATTTCCCTGCAGACGACTCGCTTCCACCTGAACAATTCCCTAAAGCCCGCGGTCTGGTCATGCAATGAGGTGCAGACATTTTGACGAGCTTCGACTGCTACACGCAAGATCTCAAGGGAGTGGGGGCCCTGAAACACCTGGCGCGCCACTCTCTGCAACGGGGAGCCCATGGACCTCCGAGTTCGCTAGTGGTTTATTCTGGCCACCGCTTCGAGGTCGAAACAACAGGAAGAGATAAGGATATAGTGCTGTAGAATTTTCAGATGAGCACCACTATGGTACTGCAGATAGCCTGCAAAAGTAATTTTTCTGTTTCGCCCTGCGCACTGATGCAACTGACCTTCAGAGCTCCTAGACTGGTATGGGTAAGGGTGTACCCACACGCATAAATAAATGCGAAGGCGTCGGGAACAAGACAACATGCATCCAGTCCCTCAACCTAGTGGAACGTCTCTAGGATTTATTTTTAAACAGTCCTAAGAAAATTAGAGTACCGCATCCTGTCCTAAAATTTGCTAAGTGGGGAAGCTGTTCCCTCGCGAAGGCGCATTGGAATCACAGCAGCGAGTAGAACCTACCATACGAAAAAATGTGTGCGAGCTTCAAAACAAAACAACTCCGTTGTCATCGTTTAGGTCCATCATCGTTGATGCGACTTGGCCCCCCTGTATAACTACATAATTGTAAAGGCAGCAGGCCAGGGGAGGCTCAGAAAAAAACAGCAGGATCTGTACACTGCACCTTATATACTAACCTCTATAGAAACAGCACAGTATTAAGCCCGTGCAGTCCGAAGGCCTAACGGAATGAAACACAAATCAATTTTCTCCGCTAGTGCCACCATCGTTTTATAAATCCATGTATCACAATTCCTTAAGCTAGCGACGGTCGAAGCAGGCAACCTAAAGCATGCAAAAAGAGCGGTCATCTTCATCGCGCTTGCGTTCTTGTAGCCGCACACGCCATGCGACAACCATTGAGCACTTAGGTCACCGCTTCGCATCCAAACAACACTGCCAGCGCTGTTCATCACATCATTAGCGTAGCCACAAATACGCTGTTGCCAACACTCTGGCAAACGAAAAAAACAAAATAAACTTACCCTGCACAATGCGCACTTCGCCGTGGTGGCATAATCCGAACACACCAGTAGTGAAATTTAGTCACGAAGGATGCTTATCAGCCCCTTTCAGCTCAAACTAGAGCCACCCGGTGCAGTGTCGGGAGCTGGTATATCAGATGTTAGTGCGGGGCCCTCTGAACAGACGGCCTCGTATGACATGCCGTGCAGCATTTTAAACTTTGCAGTGCGATGTTCCTCTGCTTGCTGGTGGTACTCTGCCAGCTGCTCTCGATGCCGTCTGTGATGATGCCGATGGTGATGCAGATGGGTTTCGTCGTCAGTGCGGGAACGGCTTGTGGCAGAAGCAAAGGAATCACAACGGCTGGCTTGGATGTCTGCTGATTCAAATGAGCTGTATGAGCCGAGACCCTCGGTGCTTTCCACCTTGGATGCACGAATCCCAGCAACTACTCGTGTTGCATCGACCCCAGGTTTAGCTGTTGCTGCGACTGCTGCAAAGGCCGAGCTAACCGAATCCGTTGAATCAACTGCATTAGGACATTTTCGTCTAAATCGCGGTGTATCCTGTGCTAGCGCCATAAACATCACGCTAGTACTACTGCACTCACGAATTTCACGTGTACTCCGTGGAAGCCACAGACGTGCATTAGAGCTACAGGGAGCGAGAGCAGTTGCAGCAGTGGGCACTATCCGGTTATTGATGCTTGTCAAATTACTGGGGGCCAGAATGCCGTTGGTCGACGGCCTAGAGAACTCAGAAATAGCTGTTTCCTGTGGCTGTCCTTCACCTGCTGTATTGTCACATACAGATGCTCCCATTGATGCACTAGTTCTTGCAGGCGGCGAAAGTACGGAAGCGCCTTCGCCCTTGATTGTGAGACCATCCTGCTGAGGAGACACGCTTTTCGGTTCAGCTGAAAGTCTCGGAGGCGGGATAAGCGAGTGACTGCTGATTCTGCAAAGCTTGTTGCCTGTATCTGTGCGTGTGTCGTGCACTTCACGCACAGGCAGCCTGGAGGTGTTCACGGAGTTGCAAGTATCAACTGCAGCGGCAGCTTCACTTCCCCTAGTGTTTGAGGCTGCTGCTGCTCTAGGTGCTTCAACAAGCTGGGGTTCATCTGTTACTGCAGTAACCGCCGTAGAGGGAATCAAGGGATGCGCACCAAGACACGGATCTGCTGCTGTGGGAATATCATAGCATCTGTTCTCACACAAAGAGCCTGAAGACGTATCCAGCGCAGCTTCTGGGCTCTCGCTCGCCTGCAAACTTTCTTCAAGGCTACCATTAGCAACCATAGCCTTACGCTGGGTACTGTTCTGTGTAGCGGGGCCAGCTGCTTCTTGCCCCATCAAGTTGCTAACCGGCATATCAGATGTACCGGCTGCATCATGAGGCCTTCGAAAGGCCAGGGGCCCTAGCTCAAAGCCGGGAAGAGATACAACAGACGGCAGCAGCAGCATGCTCGGCGCCGCAGCCGAGAGTTGTTGCTGCTGTGCTTGCACTGTGAGACCGTTGTGCGCTTGTTGATGGCAGTCTAGTGCGGACAGATCGGTACCCTCCGAGGCCGAGCGGCGGAGATAGTCATGCTGCTGCGAGGTGGCAACTCCTGACATACGGGACTGCAGTCGAGGTTCGCTTGAGTAGTAGCAGCGGTTGCTGCAGCAGCCGCTGCTACTACTACTACTGTGGCTGTGCCTGCCAAAATTATCACCGTTGCCTTCCAAAGAGCATCTGCTCTCCCCTACAGCACCGGAGGTGGCGGCTAAAACCGCAGGCACAGCAGTGAGTGGGGAAGGTAGTGAAGGGGTGTGAGCGCCACCTGTACGATCCAGTCCGAAGTAGTAATTAAGTGCCAGGGGCCGTCCTGTTGAGCTCCGCAGCACCTGCTGTTGCGGGGTCGATAAAACCCGAGGACTGGGGACCTCGCCCGGTATTATTACGCTTGTAGTTGTGGCCGCTGCAACGGATGCGCTAGCGTGCTCACCCTCGTCCGCGCTGTTTGCTTCACTGTCACCTGACTCGCTTTGCGGTTCGAAGTTCATAGACCAGTAATTGAAGGCGTTGAACTGTAAACACGTGCCACACACAGATGATTGCCAAATCTAATTCTAGCTAATACAGAGGAGGGAAACCTCTAGATCAAGTATGAGGCCCAGCCCGGAAAGTGGGAAATGACCCCAAGCCACAAATTTCATCCTTAACCTCCTTCCGTATATCCAAGCATTGCACAGCAGATAATTGAAATGCACATGATGTCTCCGCAGTAGTCCATAGTCACAACCGCATGAAACATTGTTCAGCATGGCTACACCCCGTGCGCACTTGTGCAGAAAATATGTACATCCCGACGGCTTTGGCTTTCATGCCCAGGCCTCAACGCCATGCCCGCCCTCTAATTTGCTTTAACGGGCTCCGGGGTCTGGTGCATTGGAGGCTTCGACCTCATGCCTCCAGTTAACGGCGAAGACCCTCATACAGGCAGCGCCAGTCTCCGAAATGACTAAAGCCAAACACCCTCATCCTATCAAAGCAACATGCCACCTTGATAATGACTGAATCGTGACTGCTGCTACTGCAGCTTCTACATACTTAATAGCTCTGTGTTGCTGCTGAAAACCCTGCCGGTGGAAATCTGCCGGCGGGGTGAGGCAGGCAGGCTCTAACGAGTCTTTTTCAGGTGAGCAGCACCGTTGTGCTTGGGAATTTGGACACCCTTGCGCCTCTGCTCTGCACTTTAACTCCTAAAAGCCCTAGCCGCCAAGACAGCCAAGCAACAGAGTAGAGAAAGAAATCATCATATACTGGCTCGATGTAATCACAGTAAAGAAGTGCACTGAAAATAAAAGCTTCGCAGTTGAAAGCGCGCTTCGGTAGCAGCTTCGCCGGTAGAGAAGAGGACGCTTTCTTCCCCCCCAAACAAAAATATCCACACCAGCCGAATCCTACTGCCTCACTGGAAAACCGAGACGCCACTCTGCCCGTTGCTGCCAAAAGAAGAGACAGGAGCATCAATCCCACCCAGCTTAACAGCACAAAGGGCCAGCAGTGAGGCAGTGAGCAGGTGAATGGATTTGCCTGAAGGCAGGTGCATTACCACTAGAAAACTTCAAACAATGGATATATCCATAGTAACACACAACAAGCTACCCCGTCTTTTTCTCCTCACGTCAAGGCCTCAATGGCGGGAAAACGGAGGGCTCTCCAACAGCTTAGAAAAGAACTAAATGGAGAGAAAAAGCCTCTGAAGTCTGCCTCATTAGCGGAGCAAATGAGAAGCACCACAACGCCTTATGGCCCACTGGAGATAACCATCATCCATCCTACAGCTAGCTCGCGCAGACAATGCCTTCAAATATTCTGCTGGATTCAGGTGCATCTCCAACCCAATGAGGTAGTACTGAGTGTATTCACGCAAGGTGAACGGCAATGATATATCGTTACTACTGCATTGTTGCTACAGAACGATTTGATGAGGCTCGTCGTTGCAGCCGCTACAACAAACAGCTGTAGGAGAGACCCAATTATCGTCTTGCTTGTCTACATGCAGTGTATACTGCAGCCGTTTGCGCTGCCTGACCTCTTCCTCTTCCCTTTCCTCGAGCTCTTGAGTCGTCTGTCCCTGTGCAATCGGAGAATTCTTTACAGGTGGAAACATGTGCTCCGCTATCTCGCTCATTGTTTCGTAGCTGCAGAATCCACAATCACAGTAGAGAGTGGTATTGCATTAAAAAACAGTGGCTTCTCTCAGCAGCAATGCCAGAATATCCAATAGGAGATAAACAGCAACAGCCACAAAGAAGCGGCCACTGTAACCAAACAGGTAATCAATACAAAACGCGCATATATTGGTTTTGTGGAAAGCTATAACACATTGAAGCAACCTACGTCCGGGCGTAAGTGGAGTTGCTGATGTGGTGGATAACACCAGCCGTGTCAATGATGAAGATCTTGGCCTCGGGGATACCCACATGAATATACGCCCTGTGATCCTGAGGTCAGCAAAACTCTCATACCTCAATCCTTCCAAGAAAAAGCCTAAATGAAGTCTCTCGTAATGAATCCCCAAAGTCAACGGCACAACCGTAACCCCTCCTACCCAGCACCTAAAGATAAACTGGAGTGACCGTGAGCCACTGGAGCGCATATTCCCGCTTCTTTGTTGACAAGAACCTACCGACTCTCTGTTCCCAAAACCTGCGTAAAAGGGATTTCTGTTGGCGGGAAAAAGACTCCGAATGTCTCTGAGGGCTGCAATCTTGAAAATGTAGGGCTTTCGATCGATCACTTCACGGCGGAAGGAGGGGAAAAGCCGGTCGGGACTGAGTATCAATGGTCCGTCTGCAGCAAAGACACAACAGTCCTGGCCAATGCCACAGCTAGCAGCGGCCTTTGATGCATTTCTCTAATATGACCTTCTCAAACCTTCACGAGCTAGAGCATACACCAGATAATTTCATCTTCTTCCATATACATTATCGCAAAGTTTACAATGCAGCATCAACAGCTCTCACCTGGAAGCTTGTCTCGCTCCTTCTGTGTAAGCCCGAATAGATAATCGCGGGTGGCATCTGCCTGACCGATAGCCCGAGCTGTCAGATACAGAATCAAATAGCCGCTCCTTTTTATCTTTGTAAAAAGCTCGGCTACGCCTGTGTGAGACCAGTCTCTCCCAACTATTGGCATCAACTGCCCGAGTACATCAGATCTGCAAGTGCAGTGAAAACGCAATAAACGTTGCGTTGCCATCAATCGGGCTTAGCAGCAGCGACAGAGAGAACAGCAACAACAGAGAACCAAGAATATCAAATGCAGATGAAATAGCAACAGTAGCAGAGCACTACCACAAATTTATCTTCCGCACTCACGGACGGCTCGCCCGAGCAACTGCAGATATATCAACAACGCCTACCTTGTGATGGTGCCGTCTACATCCGAGACTACGATCTTGATGTCTGTTGACCACAGATATATTGTTCCACACACACTCTTTTCACCCTGGAGGGAGGATCTGACAGTGAAGCATACGCTGTTTGCCCCCGGCTTTAGATCAAGCGACTCCTGCGCACAAAACGCCGACACGAGCAGCACAAGATTACATACCAAAGAGTTCTTTCGAGCCAATCCATCTGAAGCAAGAAAGTAAGTGCTTAGGGCCTGATTCACCAGTTGCTGTGGTGTGGGCCTAAGAGAACGCCTCAACCTCTTGCCGCTGCAAGGCTCCGTGTTAGAGGCGAATGCTGGGGATTCGCTGTCGCTGTTGACGCCGCTGCTAAATGTTGCGCCTTAGAGGAAGCATAAGCAAACAGTGAGCGACTAGGTGGGGCCGGAGCACTAAGAAAATCAGAAACCAAGAAATGCTTTCAGAGAGGGCTTAAAAGGGTAAATGGTGAGAGTACAGAATGCGCAGCATGATGCAAAGCTCGTCGACGTGGTCTATCAGACATCCCTTAATTTTCAACAGCTTTTGCTAGCCTAACCTTGAAGCTGGTCTTTGTGGGGGCTACTCCGAGTGAAGTCTGAAGAGCTCAGTGGCTCAGGCCTTGGCCGTAACAGTCCTGCGCCGCTACCCATGCTATCCATTTGCCAGGGGGCCCACCCTGTACCGTCTCTGTCGGTGTAAGTGATTTCTGCTGTCATAAGCTTCTTAACACTGTAAAGGGATAGCGGGCGGTTAAACAGCAACCAGCTAGCCAACAGGGGCAGAGCGACTTTTGCGGGGTAATAGGGAGGAGTCCGTTCAAAGCACGCCACTAAAGACGGGTGATACCAGAGGCCGGGATTCTCGTCCAGAGCTTCCCAAGTAACTAAGTTAGCCTTAAAAACGTCAGCATCGTGTTGAGCTTCGTCTGCTGTGCCAAACAAAACGTGGCCGCAGAGCGAAAACTGAACCGCAGCGCGACTTTCATCTCCTCGGCCTTCTCCACGATTCTCGCCATCCGGGTAAGAAGCAGCAGGAGTCGTCTCACTCACTCCAACTGTTGTGCCTTCATATCTTGCAGCTGTGCCCCACGCTGACCTCCAGGTAGAGGAAGCGTCAGGTGGGAGGGAAGCACGCGGGGCCTCCTTCAAAACGCTGCCTTCGCTGCCAGAGGAATGAAGTGCACTTTCTGTGCCGGAGGACTGAAGTACCCGTTCGTTACCACTGTCTGCACACAACTTTGTCGCGCGGTCGGTTGCCTTGCGGGGTTCTGCTAGAACCGCTGTAGCAGCAGTAGAGAGACTAGCACCCTGTCCTGGGTGAGCAGGTGGGTGGGATGAGGTATCCTGAGAAACGGGTGGCAGCGAGGCATCTGACTGAATAGCGAGGCCGCGGCGAGGTGAATGCAGAGGTGAGCAGAGGGGACTTGCCAATTCTTCTTCTGTAACTCCAATATCATCTTCAACTTCTTGCATGAAATATGCCTCCCCCGCTGCCCCCAATTTCATCACTAAGGCAGTGGCCTTGTTATTCACCGCTACTGAGACTATCTTCTCCCTAGAGCGGAGCAGCTTGGCTTTGCCGAAGCGAACATGAAAAGGGGTGGAGTGTAACTCACCCGTGTGCGGGTTCCGCACGCAGATGATATCAATGCAGCCACTTAACGTGGCCTGATTAAAGTCTAGGGCATTGCTGACGCTGTTCACTATCCTGCCCCACATATTTTCGAGGGAACTGGTGGCGTCTTCGCACCTTTAGCTTCTGAGTCTACGCCCCCACCGCACGGCATGGGCCACCGATGATGCAGCACTGCGGCCACAGCACCGAGACTGTAAGTGAAAAGAATCCTGCTGCATACAACAAAGAATTGTACGCTGCTAGCCGAATTAGAGTTGCAACAACAGTTACTGCTAGCCTTTGCCGGGGGCACGCGGCGAAAGGAAGAAATTACACTGCTGCTTTTGCTCGGGCTTATCCAAAGAAGGTGCGAGATGAGGGCAAAACAAAAGAATAAAAGAAGTTAAACGCCAGAATAGTTCATGTGTTTACACCAACTTCATGCTGTGGCCCGCTAGTGCTGCTGCCCCCTGGCGCACTGCTGGCAATTATCTCACGGCCAGGCTGACAGTAAACCAGGGATTTCAGTCGCTGCTTTGACGCTGGACCCTATCTCACAGACCTAAAGCCCCAACTCATTATAAGCATCATGTAGCTGGAGCGTTTCACACTCTGCTTGGCACATAAACTCGCCGCAAAGGGCAGGCCCAACAGCCCAGCCAACGAGTCACAAAAAGCGTTTCTGTGAGGAGTAAAACGCAGTGAAAAAAACATATAATAATAAGAAGTCTAAATATGAGGATTTTTAGCCTCTAGGTAATACAATTATATCATTAATTCGGAGGTTACCCCTCAAGGGTCCAATGTTCTGAAGTGCCCACGAATATATGTTCTTGGAGACCACAGTGAGCACTTATGCTGAAATTAATGCTGAATGTGGCCAAGATTTCTTACCTGTCGGCCTTGCTAAACCATGGACAAATGGGGGAATCCTGTTTGTGCCATATAGTACCTAACAGAAGCCAAGCTGAGCGAACGTAATTGTCATCGAGGGGGGCATAAAAGGAGCAGACAGAGCAGGAACGGTTATTAGGTAAGATGCCATATGTGGACTGATGCTTCCTATTTACTCAGCTTCTCAGGCTACCCGTCACAGCACAACTGCGGCACTTCGTAGAAACTCGGGTGTCCCAAGGACCTGCCGGCCTGCGTGGAAACCCATCCCCCTCATAGGCAATGACAGAAATAGACGGAGTCGTGTACAAAATAACGCAGACCCAAGCAAGCTGCTTTAAGACTGCTTTTGGTATATTCGACGTAGATGGGGATGGATACATAACCCACAAGTCCGTTGACATCAATCCCCTCTGGCACTGCAATGTATTTAGCACATGCATCTTACCAGCACAGGTCTCTGGCCACGTGGGGGACGAGAGTTCCACATATATGTGTCCAATTTTATATGTAAAGCGATTTCTCTCAGTTCGATGACGCATTGTTACTGTGCGTCGCTAAGGGAGTTTGTGAAGCTCTTCCGTTCGGTGGGACAGTCACCCTCTGATGCAACTCTTAAAAGGATTCTCGACGAGTTTGATCCCGAGAAAAAGGACAAAATAGGCCTCCATACTTTTTTGCAGATCTGCGAGTCGCCATTTTTTGTGGATCCAATAAAGGAAGAAAGATTGTTGGAATGCTTTCGGGTATTTGATGGCGATGCACTTGGAAGGATCAGCGCTGCAGAGCTAAGATTTATATTGCAGCAAATGGGGGAGCCTCTGACCGATGACGAGGCCGACAAGTTCATCGAGTGGGCAATGAAGGTAACGCGTAGATATGCACGAACCAGCTCTTTGGTTTTCCTTTTTATAGGGGCTCCTGGCTAAAACATTAGCACAAAGACAGCTCAATTTGTCGTCTAATTAATAGCTTTCCCCTCTAAATATGGATGGCAAGATTCACAAGACTCCTGGGATCTGAGAGAGTCGGAAGGAAATTCTATTTTGCTTATAGGTACCTGACGCGATCACGGATGGAGGACTGTTAAACTATGATATTCTTGCGAGAGAGCTTATAAATAGAGACCCAGACGTTTCATGAGACATTGTGAAGTAATGCTTTGACTCTTGTGAACCAGTTGCCGTCCACTGTGTTTCGTGGGCTGATCATGACTGTACACCTTTCAGGATCGGCCTCTACAAACTCCATATATCCCAAATACCAGACATGCCTGGCAAATTCTTCCATGTTCCCTTTGGCTCTGTCGGGCTGCAGCCTCATCTTCCTGGGTGTTTGCTAAAGCGCTTTCCCCACAGTAGCGCGACAGAGCGCACGTATTTGGTTGTTGGGTGTGTTCGCGCACAGATGCATTCTTTTTTTCGGCTGAATGATTCCTCTATTTAACAGTCTTTGGCTCTAATCGCAGTTGCGTGATGAATAGCGATTGGGCAGTACTAGCTGACCGAAGCTGACAGCCGTTCAGCGTGGGAAGTGCGCGTTTTGCACTTGCACTTCAAACCTTTTGAATATATGCATATGGCATAGCACTATGACGTGAGGGGCTTCTACGGAGGCGGAGACACTCTAGCTTTTGCAGCATTGCAGCTGTGTCCATTCGGCCCCACATGCTTCAGCGTTAGTTGCCACGCTTGCGCACGGCGAAATATAGAATTTCACGACATAGAAGTCAGGTACCCGAGTACTTCAGGCCTAAGGAGATTTCACATGCGAATTACAGACTTATGGAATAGGCTTTTGTGCCTTTGGGCTGATAAGTGACGAGTGAATTGTGCCCTCGGGTATTTTTTGCTTGGGTACCTGCTGTACACTACACTTGATTATGCTTTGTATGTCTAGCTAGAATTTCGGGTTGGTCAATAGCACGTAGAACTGCCAATGCTAACTTTACGAAGCGCACCCACGTGTATAAATTGAGCATTCATGGCTATCTATCCAGCCGTCAAGTTTCCGGCAGCAGCGTCCTGCCCCTCCGCGGGCTCCCCCCAACAGGGCTGCCCTGCACGATTGGGCCCTACATGTTTATAAAAATCAGTTCATTAGTATGGAAGCATTCTAGTCTGGTTCTTAGAGAACGGTCGCGATCCTGAAATTCTTCACAGACACCCAGAGAGCACTCTGTGGGTGGTAAAGCCGGTAAAAGACTATTGCTTCGCTTGCCAACCATCACGGTGTGGTTGGAATTTGTTTAATAAAAGGCCACTCTCAGAAAAGAGATATTTAAGTACGCTCATGGTCTAGGTAATTGCAGGACTCAGCCTAGAGAACTTCGCGTGATGTGATGGAGCATTGCTAACGCAGGAAAGGTTGCCAATCTCGGCTGATAAAGATGGTAGTGGCTGCTGCCAGCTCTCCAAAGACAGAAGAGACAGACAAGGCCTTTCAGGAATAAAAAGGATATGGCTAAGGGCAGCTTTCTTATGTAGATTAAAGCAAATGCATGCCCACGGACGCCATGAAGAATTCCGGAGGTCTCACAGTGGTAAGGGGCAGTCATACTTGCATGCAGATTCATTGAGTACACGTGCATAGTTGCTAGGTGCTGAAAAGGTTGCTACAGTTTGACAAGTACCTTCGCCTGTTGTGAGGCTTCAGTGTACCTGGAAAAAAAGGTGCTAATCTGAATGCGGACAGGTCTAAGCAGCATCTGAATAAGCAATACTTGCTTCTATCAAATGTCAGAAGCCTGTACAGGGGCCTTCGAGCTCAAAGGATAGCATTGCACCTTGCGACTTGGCAGAAACCGTCGTGCCGGGTACCATTATTCAGCATGACCAATGAACATTTTGGCCAATGATGCTCACAGGAGTGGCTGGCTTTTCCAGTCACTTCCGCATAAAAACAAAAGATGAGGTAACCTGAATCTAAGGAGTCACATCAGATTCCTCTTCGTCATCTAAAACAGATACAGGGGGTAGCGCCATATCAAGACCATGCAAAACCTCATTTATTTTCCGTCTGAGAGCTGCATTGGCTGTAGCTGCTTTCGCTAGCTGCTGTTGTAAGCGCTGTTTCTGGTACTCATATTCCTTGCCTAGCCGCTCCCTTTGTTGCTGCTCCTCTAGCAGTCTCTGTGCCGCAGCTATCTGTCTCCTGTCTGCTGCCTCCTGTATTCGTGCTGCTTTTGCCTCTGCCAAGGCAGTCAGGCTATCACAACGCCTCTTAACCTCCGCCGTCTCTCGTTCCGCCCTGCGTTTTGCTGCGTCACCTTCCGCTTCTGCAGTCGCTAGTTTTGCCGTAACTTCTGCAATCTGCTGCTGTTGCGTGTTGCACGTCTCCTGTAGTTGCTCGCACCTTTGATTCAACAACACTTGTTGCTGCTGCAAGGTAAGTCGTGCCGACTCTGCTGCTGCAAGGCTGTCTTCCAGCTGTTTTTTGGAAGCAGCAAGTGCAGCTGATTTTGCTGCAGCATCCTTACCCTGTGTAGTGAGCACCTCTTTAAGCCGAGCTACTTCGGACTCAGCAGCAGCTTGCGCCTGCTGACGGTGTTGCTCTAACGTTTGGTGGTGCTTTGTAGAAGCAGCAAGCTCGGTTCGAGCCTGTTTTGCTTCAGCAGCTGCTGCTGCTGTCCTCCTTTCTGCTGCTTCTAACTTTACTATCGCCTCGCCGTGGGACTTTTGGAGTGCCTCAAGCTGTTGTCGTAGTCTCTCTGCAAGCTCCTCTGCTTGCAAGGCCCGTCTTTCTAGAGTGTCCCCTTGAGCAGCACGCAAAAGCCGTAGCTCCGTTTCATGCTGCCCCCTTAACTGATCTAGATGCTGCTGAAGCAAAGATGCACTGGCTACTGCTCGCTCCTTTTCCACAACAGCAGCGTGAAGCTGCTGTGTGATACTTTCTGATTGTTTCCTTGCCTCTTCGGCGTCATGGGCCTGTGTAGCTAGTCTCTGCTCGAGGTAGTCCGCTACCTCTTTTGCTGCAACTGTCTCCCTGGCTGCCGACTCCACCTGTTTCTTAAGCCCTTCATGCTCTTGTTGCAGCGCAGCGGCCGCAGCTGCAGCGGCACGTTCTTGCTGCAGTTCTTGAAGCTGAGACTCCTGCTGCTGTAGCGCCGTTGCTAATTCGGCAGACAGCCGCTGTACATCCTTTTCGGCTAGAGCAAGCCGCTTGGATAATTCATTGTTTCTTTCGACTGCTTCCCGCAACTGCAGTGCCTGTTCCGCCACTGTGTCTTCCTGCTTTGCTAGCTTCTCTTCTCTGGCTGCAACCGCTGCAGCCCGCCTCTCTGTCTCCGCCATTACCGTGCGCATCTCCTCTAGTGCAGCTTCACTTTGTTCCACATGGCATTTGAGTAAGTGGTTCTGGCTTAATAATACCTCACTTTGTTCTGAAGTCAAACTGTAAAGCTCTTCTAGCTCATTCTTCTCTTGTAAAAGGGAGCTATATGGTTTTCCCGCACTGACCGAGCCAAGTGCGCCAGTGCCTGCGGTGCTGCCAGCCTCAGCCTCAAACAGTTGCTGAAGCCTAGCTGTTTTGCTGCGAAGCTCTTCTGCCAGCTGTTCGTTTTCTGTTGTAACCGCCATCACTTTCGCACTAAAATTTTCTATGATTTTTTCTTTCGATTTTGCCTCTTCTTGGAGCTCTAGTATCCGTTCGTCGTATGCTGCAAGAAGGGGGCTAACTAGCTGCATATTCAGACACCATGGGGGCAAAGGCAGCCCCTCCGCCTGTTGTTGTAAATCTGAAGCTACAGCAGAGCATCTTGCTGTATCATTCCCGCATACGGCAGCAGCCGCGGCAGTTACAGCTTGTGAGAGGCGGGCGCTCCTTAGTTCTTTCGTCACCCTCTCTGCATACCCCCTCAGGCTTGTGTTCTCTTGTTGAAGCCGTACTAACTGCTGCATCAGTGCCAGGTCTTGAGGGGGCATCCTAATGGGGTCACAGGGCTCCGCCTGGGAAGACACCCGTGGGAGCCATTTCCGAACCAGCTGTGGCTTCTGCGGTTGCTGTTGCATTGAACTACGAAATTAACACTGGTGACCAGTATTTTCATATCATAAAGCTACAAACCTTGAATTTTTGACGGAATGTGTTAGCTTAGATGCATATAATTAGTTTTAAAGCGTCTGAAGGGGTATGACCCTTGGAAAGAAAAAGATGAGCCTATCCCACTTCCGCTAGTAAACCGTTTCAAAATTGAAGCCTTCTAAGTGTGAAGTATGGAGTGTGAAACCGTTGAGGATGTTGCTCATAAGTTCGAAAAGTCTCGCAGCTAATGTTCGAAGATGCGTGCTTTCTCCTGCCAAAGGGAGTTACTCTGAATATAGTCAACGAACCACCAGGGCTGCCCGCCAGAGGCATGCATGCGGCAGGGAAAGAAGGAATTTGTCACCTGATAATTATTTACGTTAGGCATTAAATCCGAAAAACTAGAACAAAATTTAAAAGGTTGGGTGTTACCATTAAACTTGGAGCCTGGGGCTGGAAACCTTCATCAGGTCATCAAAAATTCATTTCACAGTAGCCAAGTGCCTCCTCTGCTCATGTGCGACAACCTACGGGATAGGTATTACAGGATAGTGCTGAAGGCAACGAAATGCGACCACCTTCTTAGTAAGACAGCCGGATGCTAGTCTAGGCCTACTTGAATGCTGTACATAGGAATTTAATGCTGCACGAAGTGAGCAGAGAATGGGGTAATTTGTGCCTTTTGAGGTCTCTTTTGGCTTTGAGAAGAGAGCTATGGCTCGGAAACCTTAAAAACAACTTCACAGAAAGCAATTTCATACCCTCAAAGGGCTGCATCCATTCTCTACCCTACTGCAGCAAACTAACAATACAGTCGCGCGTTCTGATGCTCATTTGGTGCAACCCTTCATCTGGAGTCGCGTAAGAAGCCAATTATCCCTGAGCCATTAAATTCCTAATAAAACAATGTTGAGTGTCCTTTCATGTAAAGCTGGCCTTTTTCCCTGCCCTCGCCCCCCAGGGCTCCCCTAGTAAAAAAACACTGCAATAGCGCCTATGGCTCCTTGCCTCGCAGTTCAAGGCGCGCTGGAAGTACTAATGTCCAAAGAACTGGAGGCAGTGCATGACAATAATCTATCAGGGATCTTAAACGCCAAATGTGGTTAGTGTAGGTGCATGCTCTGCATCGTGGCTAGACAAAAAGCTGTGCGACCGGAAATTTGTGGGGAGGGACGCTTTCTTCCTTTATTTCAACCCTGCCCATAGTCTAGCTCAATTCCCATGCTATGATCAGCTATGGAACATCAGCATGCAACTCCAACAAAGTCTGGAATGACAAAAAATTTTGCAGGGAGCTGCTTGTAGCTGAAGTGGCACTTACGTCCAATGCATGAAGAGCTCTATTTATAGTCACCAATGAGCATACTCTAGGGAACGGAAGGACCACAATAGCTCTCGGACGCTGCACTCAGCCCCGCCAGCAGCCGAAGCACTTCTTCCTGCAATGGACTCCGGTAGTACCGAAAAGGGTCCTTGGCGGCCAGAAGCCGCCCGAAAGCATTCACTCTCTAAGTAGCTGTAGTTACTGGTCTGCAAATGTGCCCAAAGTCCCTTCACATGAAAGGGCAAGACAGGCTCAAAGGATGACGCCGATCACATAATCTTAAGTCTTGGCAGGAAGCAGAATACTACACATTGGCTTCTTTTCTAAAAAAGCTCCCTCCATCTCTTCCCTGCCCGCGCCCCTGAGGGTTCTTACATAAAGGAGAAGGACAGATAGAAGCAGTGCTGCACCCTAGAGACACTCCAAGAGTACACAGCTAGGTGAATGTAGCATTTACCGCATGCACACGCACACTCAATTGCTTCTTTTTGTATTGAAATTCTGCTCTCCTGCAGTAAACAAGATATAAGAATGACAAAACCAATTCTGCCATTCTCCACTTATTCCCTAGTCAAAATTTTGGGCGTGGTAACGAGTGCCGGAGTACAGCTTTACCTGCAACATCTTTCCTTGCCGTTTCGAAACGCATGAGATCATGTTCCGTACTTACAGTCGATAACACCTATGCACCCAACAGCGCAGGAGTTTCCGACCTATTTCCACACCCCTAAGACATGGAAGAGCGACAAAAAGTGCGAGCGAGAAAAAATATTGGGCTCAGCCGCCATTTGAACCTGTCTGGAGGCATCACAAGGGCTTTAGGCGGGCCCTCTTCTCCAGGGGTTTCGAGGGCATCCCTGGGGTGTGACAATATTTCAGGAACTCTTGCGTTGTTTGGTGCATAGTTGCTACCAACTGTAAATACGGAACACGATATCATGCGTTTTGATATATGGATAAAAGATGGGTGCAGGGAAAGCTGTACTCCGCCACGCTTTGCCACACCCATAATGCTGACTAGGAAGTAAGTAAAGAGTTGAAGAACTGGTTTTGCCACATGATGATGGCTGTGTTATGCCTGACTTTCGCCCGAGTGCTGCAACGTGTTGGCCTCCTAGTACGAGAGAGCGGAAAACAAGCAAAACGGGTAGAGAGCACCAGAGTGCACACTAGTTTAACAATGCCTTCACGGCTCATGGAGCAAGCTTTCGTGCCAATGCTGACAATGCTTGTAGCACAGTCGAAATCTTAGCCCCAAACGAGGCACAAGGAAAAATGTAGGGTTAGCATAACTAAGAATCCCTGTGCATACAACCTGGAATGAGAGGACATCTCAACAATACTAGTGACAACTTTCCCAAGAATTACCTGTAGATAAGGTTACGTATTTCGGGCTGAGCATACGCTGGGGAAAAGCAATTATCAAGTACCGTGAGGAATGTCTTCCATAGCGACTAGTGCTACTAACAAAAAGTGCGCCACATACACTTTCGCAGGCTACGAGACCCCCTAACAAATCTTTCGTGAAGCACTGAGGTTGGCATTTCTAAACGCATTTTACCAAAGACTCCTGAGTACTGTGTCCTCGGTGCTTAAGGGTCCTAGCATTCAACAGCTGTACGGCTCCGCATGAAGCCCCCGCCTTTACGCTTGTCATTTGTCTGCGTGGGGAAGTTTGCCAATAATTCGGAAGGTATTAAAGCTTTAGAGGAAGCCACTATTGCTAGTAATGCGGCACCCGAACATCGGGCAAATCAGGACAGTACGAACAAGCATTAAAGCGCTATACAGTCGCAGATGCTCCTACTAGCCTGAGTCAAAATGTCTTCAACTGGTCACCTCCTAATGCGCCTCGTGAAAAGCGCCGATATATCAACACCAAATCTCTAGGCTCATAGCACATATCAGCTCGTCGCTCATGATAATCCCGTATCCTTGTGTTTTGCATATACCTTCGCCTGCACCAGCAACTTTGCTGTAAAGCTCTTCGCTGCTGCGGGTGTCTGCTTGCCCCGAATTACCAGGTGGAGGTCCGGATCAGACTAAAAGACCTCAAAGCAGGAGACAGATGAGAGGGAAGAGTGAGTAGACGGATTTACTGTTGTATTATTAACTCACTCAGCAATAGGAAGAAACTCAAGAAAATCCGTCAATTGAATTGTGGGATTACTGACTCGTAAGTTTCGCATAAGAAGGCGGTTCATGTGCTCTGTTCGCCTGTTCGCGTAAGGAGTGTGTCATAGTTGTCGTATTATGATCAATGTGCATGGACGGACTCATTAGGGCACGCCAGAACGCACCAACAAACTTTAGATCCCTTTTGGTAACGATACTCCTAGGGAAGTCGTGAACCTTTCTGACATGTTTAGAATAGTTTAGCGACTTCCTGAGCCGCGACACAGCTAAATCAGAGAATGAAATTTCAAAAACAATTCGAGTTGACCGACAACGACGTGGATGCTATCCTAATCCCTGACCTGGGGCAGTCCAAAGATAAGGCCCACCCACAGCTAGATTAGAACGATTCCTTTGCGAAACTGAAAGGTTCTGCAAAAATGCCAGCTGTAGGCAAACCGTGCGGCTTTAGTTGCTAACAATCTGGGCTTCACAGTGCACACCTTTCTGCTGCGGAACGTCTTCTACGCCACCCGGACTACAAAAGCTTCTTCATTGTGATCAGAGTCCCGCATTGGCCCGAAAGGGCACAACATATGCGCTTTGAGCAGAACAGTAATGTAAAACGATGAAAAATGTGCAAGTGACAGATTCCTCGCTTTGTTTTCAATCACAGCAGGTCTCTCAGCGTGGTAGTGCTGCAGCCCTTTGCAATTCTCGGTTTTGTCAAGAATTGCGGCTGCACGGCAGGATCAACGACGCAAAACACTAGCTATTCCGATGGAAGCTGTGGCATACAAGGGCGCCTGCGATGCACAGTAAAGAATCCTTGGGGCGTCTAGAGGGCGCGTTTGTGACCATGATGGTGATACCTGAAGTGCACTTTCCAGCGAACAACTCTGGGATTTTCAAAGCCCTGAAGGCGCTTGGAAGCATGCATCGAAGACTGCTGATCTGTCTGGAAAGTAAAATGACTGCCATAATAAATAGTGCCGAGACATGATTCAGGCCCCACCACATGGCATAAAGTTCCTTTTCCCACAGCGGATACTACTGGCTTTTTTGATGGAACAGTGAAGTATAACAAATAATAATTCAGGGACTCGAAGGCTTTGTGACGGTTTGAAAAGAATAGCACTTATCGAGGTGTCACTGCATCCGGTTCTCGAAAGAAATGACACTCATGAAAAAGCAGCGCGAGTACCGATAGGTATCCTAGATGCGTCATCAGCTCCTCTGTCCACGCTACAGCCGCGTGTTTTTACAGTAGATCGGGTCAAGAAGCGGATGGTCAAGCAAGCCCAGTATTGTTTTTATGGTAACAAGTGCACGTCCCTAGAACTTCTCAATACCCCTTCAGGCGCATAACGACAAAGGCCATGCGCTAGATGGTTCAATTTTTGCAGGATCCGGCTCGAATACTTCAGCCAAGACGCCGTTTTCCAGAAATACTTTTGGTCT